ATGTGACTGCTTTTAGACAACTTTGTGATGCCCAGCTTCTCATCCTTTAGAGACAGTCCTCTCAGGAAATGATGATTCAATTACAACACTGAGACTCTCCGACTCTCCTCTGGGGATGGATCTCCTTGGAATAAAAGAATTGTGAACATACGAAAGAGTACAAAAAAGAGGAGGCCATTTGGCCCAGCTGGCTTGTTTGGTAGTTACTAGCTAGTTGACTCAAGGATCTCTAGAAAGAAGAATTTCTAAAAAGAAGTCAGAGTTTTGTCTTCATCTATAAACTTGATTACTTAACTAACTGTACCAGAATCTAGATCACTGATAAAAATTAAGAAAAGTGGTCCTAATACAGATCCCTGTGGTACTCTACTAGTTACAGCACCCTGATTTGAGTAGTCATCACTTATTTTTACCAACTGATTTCTTTTTAATAACCAATTCTCAGCCCAAACAGTTGTGTTTCCCTGAATGCCTACCACCTGTAATTTGAGATCTAATCTTTTTATGAGGATCTTTATTGAAAGCCTTATGAAAATCTAAATATACCACATCAAAAGGCCAGTGTGTATCCATTACTGATGTTGCTTGTTCAAAGAACTCTAAAAGAGCCAAAGAACCTATTCTTAATCCATGCGTACCATTCTCTAGTATTCAATTATCAAAAAGGTGCTCCTCAAATTTTGTTCAAATAATCTTTTCTATTACATTTAATGGAAGTCAAACTTATACAGTAGGTCTATAATTAATTGGTACACTGTTCTCACCTATCTTCTTGATGGACATTAGATTAGCAATTCTCCAGTCCGTGGATAAAACCTCAGTCTTGAGCATAGTTGGAAATGTGGCATTAATGGCTTCTGAATAATGTCTCTTGTTTACTTGACTACGATTGGCAAGAGTAATGATTATTCAGTATCCAGTACTGGCATAGCATGTTAGACCACTGTCTGTGAACAAGAATTCCTGTTTGTCCTATCCTGTTTTACACATCTGCAAGCATGTCTGGGTTCATGCAAGACATTACTGGCAACTTTCCCCAAACAAGTTTGTTTTAACTAGTGGTATACAGTATAAGGTTAAAAAGCCTTTTTGCATGTCACAATCTACAGCAAAAAATAACATCATTAAACTATAAAAAACATAAAAAACTAATAATTTTATTTACGCAATGTCTTGCAATTACTTTCCAACGGATCTGAAAAAATAATAATTCTCTGTCTCGCATAAGAACTGCAAATGTAACAACCTTAAGGAAAAACTTTTCTGTTTAAAGATCTACTACTATACATATCCTTAAATGTGTACAAGAAATCAGGTCTGACTTAACAACAAATACAGTTCAGACCACTAATTTCTTTGGTGTAATGAACAGTAATGAATATATAAAGCCTAGTAAAAGATAAAATGTAGGCAGTGACTTTGCCAAGCAGTTGGACCCATAATCACAAATTAATTTTCAGCCACAATTACTGTTTGCATCAGGATGCCAATTATGTGATTGCCAAAATGCAGACTGTTGTTCTTAGCATGTCAAGTCTGCTTCTTCGATGTTTTAAGGATAAGCTGCTGCAGGAAGCTTATTCTTTAAAGGGTTAAATAGATGAAAAGTGGTTCCACTTCATAATGATGGGTTATATGGGAGAGTGTGCCCCGGAGAGATTAGTTTTTACCTAATGCTGATAAGATGATTACATCTATTTCAGGAGGCATTAGTTCCAGGGCAGGGTTAAAATTATGTTTTATTTCAGAATTCATAAAAAAACCATCCCAACCCCCACAGATTCCTATTCATACATCCATCATGATGGTGAAAGATGCTGCATGTGGAGAAAGCACTTTCCTTAATGTAGCCAGTGCTATAAACTAGGCACATCATTCCAAAAAAACACATAAAAGAGCATAAGTTTAGAGCGAAGAGCACAATTCCAACAGATGAATGGAAAACAGATGAGAGCTCAGAAAACATTCAAGCGACCAAGTTTAATGTGTTTCTACTCAGAACTGTTTTAATATTTGAAAGCTGAGTTTTCAGTCAGAATGTTATAATCCAACAATCAGTAAGTTGCTTTAATCAAGTGCAGGTATGGTAGGATTAGGGCCACAATCAAATTATTTAATGACAACAGAAGGGTAGCCAAGTATCAGGAATTATGTATGTGATTGTCTGTTTTCTCCAGCACCTTGTTACTCTATTAAATTAAGACATTACTCTGAAATGCAGTACAGTGATTCCCAAAAACAGTTGCTTAAAGCAGATGTTACCTGAAAACAGTACTGGGCATGGTATGAGTCATTTATTCTCACTGGAATAAAAAGAGACCAAATGCAGAATTCCATGGTATTATGGATCAGCTGATTCTCTCCTTTATTCTGCAAAAAAATGGTACTAAGAAGACAAAGTCCAAGCAGTACAACACTCCATTAATACAAGTTAATATTATTTCATTGTGCCATTCTAAAAAAAACACCTATAGTGTATGTTGTGTTTGGCAAATTTTCGTCATACTGTATATGCTGTATAGTAGATAATTCTGCATGGATATGGCAAATAATGGCATATAATTGAATGCAAGAAATCAAAAACATCAAGTTCAAAAGAAGAAATGAGTCAATCCAAGTTTAAGCAAAAACTCTTAACTGCAGCTTTAAGTCGGAGCTGAAAGACCATAATCATTAGCATGCATAACAAATGTTATTGTGATTAGGCATGATAAAATAAGTCCAGAGATGGAAAATAAACCAAGCAGTTGACTCAGTATAATTTAGGCTAACCAAATTTATTTAACTTTTTTTTTTAAATTGAGAAATATATTGTTAAGCAAGGAAATATTGAGCTCTGAAGATATTCTGTTGACTCAGCAGAAAAGCCATACACACACTAGTAATTACTGTTACAGAATTGCTACTCTGAAGTAACCAAACAAACTACCAAGTGATGGCAGCTATTTTAAAAATATCACAGGCGTGGCAAAGCCTATTGGCAATATGTCGCAGGTCTTGAAACCGATGTAAATCATATTCTCTGTCCATTTAAAAGAGCACGTGGTATTTATGCTACCATTCAATCAGGCTTGCTCCAGCTCAGGATGCCTTTTTCTGAGCTTGATATGTTTTAACTGGTGTGACGTGGAACACAAGTTGTAAAGTCTCAGAGAAGGTTTTGCAGCCTTGCTTTAATCAATCAAACTAAAGGGAATTAAATAGTAGTGAGGTGTCGCAGTTCCCTCTCTTCACTCCACTCATGTTCACTCAATCTCTCCTCCCTTTCTCCTGTGTCCTGGGCACATCAGGACTGCAGAAATTCTAACTGCCTTCTGTTGCCTGTCCTGCTGCTTACTGAGACTGTAGACTCTGTAGACCCTGTGTTCACTCCTACCTGCAATTCACAGACTGTCATAATCATCACAATGCAAGTTCACCATACCGATTATGGATGTCGAGGTTGTTCAGGTCTTAAGAATCCTTCATCTTGTTTTTAATTCTAATATTTCAGACTTAACCTGTGATCCAACACAATGCAATTTGATACTAACCATTTGTTACCAGCACAATGTTAAATATCTATCACAGAAGTTCTAAACATTAGGGATAATTTCTTTTGCACGCTGAAACAGATGCATTGTCCAGTTCAATAGTAATGAGATCATTTGACATACACATCATAGCGTTCATGCCCATTGCTGGCCATTGATTGGCAAATGAGACATTAATCTTTTCTGACTTCCAGTTAACACACTAAATTAATCAGTCTCCCAGGTCTTTACAAATGTGTGATTTAAGGGTAACCTATAAGACCTGTTGGACTGGATCAGAGTTGGCCACCACTGTATGATACTATACCTTGCATTGTTCTACATTTCTTATCCCATCAAAATATATAATTAAATGGTTAATCAACTGCAAAAGGCTGAGCACAGAACATAACTTACTTCCAAACAATTCACGTTTGTTAAAATAAGCATGTTCCCATCATAGCATGAAATAAATTTGAAAGAGAAGATGCCTCAGATCAAGAATGATTCCTTTGTATAATTTCCAATTACAAATTGTACATAAACACATACACAGGCAAACAAAGTCTCAAGTAAGCAATATGGTGACACCAACACACACAAAGACTGTCAGCCTTGTCAGCATACAGTAAGTCTACTTAATGCTACCTGAGCACTTCAAATCTTTAGATAAGTAAAGACAGCTCTGACAGATAATCTGAGGGGTGACTCCAAACACCAGTGCCTTGTACAATAAAGGCCTAATATACCATACGGTATGTATTAGCAGTAACATTAATGTAAGCAATGTAGCAAAAAAAAAAACTTACTACTAGATTATGTGTTCTAGGCAAGTTATGTTCTGAATATTAAGACATCACAGCAGACTTCCATCAGGATTAACACAGAAGTTTGTGTATAGATATGCAAACCATGTGAATATGTGTACAGAGGCCCTATATTGTTAAACTGATAAGAAGATGGAAGGATAAATATCAGTATTGTTGAGCACTTGTGAGAACAAAATACATATGGATTTGTTTTCAGAAACAAAGTCGATTAAGGGTTTTATATATACAGTATACAAATGATTTTATTTTAAAAGGAAATGACATTATTAGCATTATATCAAATTAATGTCCTTTGAAGCAATGACCTGCATATGTAGTCAAAACAATAATACATTTAACAAAAACACATTCTGCACTCTAAGCTTGAAGTTCAAAAGAAATATAACTCGGTATTATGTATCCAGGTGAGATAAGAGTGGCGATTCAGCAAATAAAGACACACTAATTTTTCACATTGAAAGGTCAAGTTGTACTTCCAACATGAAACCAAAAGTATGCAGATTCCCATTCTGTGTGCAGATTTACTGAGAAAAAAGAAGGAAATATAATACAGAAACTTCACAGACAAAAATGCCATTCAAGTCAGCTGTTGGAGGTTTTCTATATAACCTCCAAGAAGTGTGCTGGGATTTGCTTAGTGACATTTGGTCTCACCTACCTAGCAGAGCTTGAAACAGGCTGCTTTTGAAGATTCCCATAACCCTCAAAATGGCCGTTTTTAGCTGCTGCTCCTCAGGCCTTCTTAGTTTGGAACAGTAGTCTTCCAGTAGCCCTAAAGCTCGAGCTGTGTCTATATTAAAGGCGGAAATAAGATTTGTTAGTCGATAAAAAATGACAACAGAGTCATATTAACATTAAAAAATCAGCAGTTTTAGAACACCTGCCTGTCAGTAACTGTCATCAACACCAGCAAGAAAAAAAAAGAATGAAAATCACATTTTCAATCTGTGACAATCTGTCTTTACATCCATTTTCAAACTGCTTCATCCAATTCTAGGTCGCAGGGGATCCAGAACCTACTGCCGTAAGCTACATCCTGGATGGGACGCCAATCCATCATAGGGCAGACACACTCACACCGGAGCCACTTTCCCTGTTGCCACTTAACCTACCAGCATGTTTTTGAACTGTGAGAGGAAACCAGAGCACTTGGAGGAAACCCATGCAAACACGCACAGAACATACAAACTCCACGCAGATAGCAGTCCATCTCCAAAATCGAACACCGGACCCCAGCGCTGTGAAGCAGCAGTAGTATTCCCTGCACCAGTGTGCCACCAACCACAGTAATACTTGCAGAGTTAACATGGGAGAGCATTTCCCATTACCTTTGCAAAACACCCCAGGCTTTGTCACTGGTGGGATCTCCCCTTGAAGAATGGCATTAAATCGAATGATTTGACAAAACAAATAAAACGGAAGATGCACACTACAACAACCTAAGTGAAACAGGCAACAGTACATATATATATAGCATTTCAAAATTAGCTAACATTAACTGTTTAAAACAGTTCAGTTTTCTTCAATGGCAAGTACACAATTTCCTCATCATGTTTTCAGTGGAGCTGCAATGAAAAAATGCTTGATGTTATATAAATATATTGATGCACAATAAAAATACAAGTCCACATTTTCCATAAATTGCTCATGGGACACATTTATAATGTTATTTATATTTCAAACGAAGAGCGGCAGGTTGGTTAAGCAACATCATTCCCTGAGATAACAAAACACTGAGCCCAAGTCATGCAATTTCTCAAAGAGCCAAATACTTAATCTCATCATCATGCTTTGATCTGTATGAAACAAAATCCATCAAATTTAAGACCTGCATTTGTTTTGTGCATCTGTGTATTTGCATTTTGAAAATGATATGGATTGCAGTTTAATTGAATTTGGCAAATGAGAAGTTGTAAATGCAAGGATGTGTATTTATATGAAAGCTGATATACAATGAGCTGTATGTCAACAGATCACTTGAGAGGCTCTTTGCTGCGATGCAGAAATGTTGCACTTGGATCACATGTCCACTTGTCACACACAATAAGCGCCCAGTTTCAGATTGGGATGACACACGGAGGTACTGGCTGGCATCATTAGTGTGATCTGATCCAAGGACTGTGAATGATGGTGGCACTGATTTTATCAATACTTTTGTTTCAGTAAGCTGAATGTGTTTATTTTGCATAATGTCATAATTCACCTTACGCAGGTCAAAGTACTTTTGCATCTGATGGTACAATGAAGACATGTAGTAGTAATTGTATTTATCAAGTGCAAATTCTTCTTCTCTATGACACTGTACTTTCTATTGCATTCCCTCCATCAATGCTCATACTAATCTTAATGAAATGTTGTTTACATTTCTATATCAGCAATCAGAATTATTGAAAAGTAAGGGTATATGCAGGATTATGTATTATTTTGATTAGATGAAAAATGTCAAATGATGTCAAAGGGATTTAAATCTACCTTGAGCAAGAAAGGAGAAACAGTTAGAAAAGATAGATTGCTTATTTTTAAATGAAGAATGTTTCATGGGAAGAATGTGTTAACAAAAGATTTCATCATTTCAGTATTTCCAGTCTCATATCAATGTTAAAGCTATGGGCCTAAATTGCTGTGCAGATTTCAAAGAATGCATGATTTCAAATATAAAAAAAAAGTTGACACAGATTTCCTTAAGGAACATATAATTATTGAAGGAGGGCCTGAGATCATTTAGGGTTACATGTGGGTAACCCACACTTTACATCTATTTCCATATGGATCTCAGCCTTACAGCTGTCAAATATTAATATTATATATAATATAAGATTCACATGCTCTAAGGAACATTCCACATCCACAAATCTTGAAGGTTAAATGAGCAAAGCTGTGCCACACATATATTAATGTGAATACAAAAATGTTTCATATTTACTGACACAAAACAGAAGGTCATGTTCATTCTTTAATGTAACAAAAGTTAGGGGGAAAAGTTTATTAAGGAAAAATCTCCAACGTTATTTAAAGCTACAAACTTGTTTCAAAATCCAATTCAAGGCCATGCACATTTGCAGAGAAGTGATTTGCTGTTAGAGTCAAATCCTTAGGCATTTAAAAAAATAAACTACTGAGGCTTTGTTATCCAACTGCTATGGCTGGCAAGTTGTGTATACCAAAGCATGCACCAGATATACTATGTATAATATACCATATACTGTATAGTATATAGTAGTTCTGAATACCATAAATACAGATTTAAGTATTATAGGGTAAATTATTGCTACAGTAAGTGGCTCTTTCTTTTGGATAAGATTATTTTATAGACACATGCTTAGACACGTTTGCAGTAATCTAAGCAGTAAAACCAAATATAGTACCGTGCATTGTTCATTGGCATGATCATGATCATGAACTGAAAGAACAACTGTCAGAAAGGGCAGGCCTAACCGATGCATTACTAAAGTGCGTGAACATTACTTAAATAATTTGCTGAAGAAATAGACTCATTTAACTTTTCTAAAAGTTTTACAATTTGTTTCTGACCAGGGGCAGTCCGGCGAGAGATTTAATGGGCAGAGAGCCTGGCCAAGTAATGTGGAAAGGATAAGAAAACGCTTGTGGAAAGAATTTGAAAATCTCTGTCGTCGATTTCTGGTGGCTACCGGAATAGTCTCAAGAGTTGTAGGCTACATTCTGCACACTACTCTGCAACTGTTTGATTTGAATGAAAAGACAAGGAAAAAAGTAGATCTCAAAATAAAAAGGTTGATGCTTAATGATTTAGGATTAATGCTTGCTGTGTTAAAAACACTATTTCAAGAAATGTGCAAGAAACTGCCTGAGTGATAAAAGATCAGGTAACGTTTTCTGCCTTTAAAACAAATGTAGAGCTGTACAGGCTATATCAAGAAAACTTACATGGGGTAATATTATGACCAGAATGATTATAATAACAACATTGTGTTAACATGAAGTAACAACAGCTTTGCTTCTGTTAATGCCAACTATGGAAATATCCATGAGCTCTATAACTTCTTCAGTGCTGCAGACGAGACTCCTTTTTAAGCATTTAATCTTATAATCTTAAATATCCTTAGTTTGTAAATGGCTATGAGCAGCACATGTTTAGAAAGCAGTTTGTTTCAACAGCAACAACAACAGCATTGTTAAAATGCGTGTTAGAAAATATTATATATAAAAATGCAATACGATAGCTTTAGGTTAGTTTTGAAATGAAGCTTCAAACGTTTACTTCTAGGTGGAATCTTTAACCAAAATTACATACATGTATATTGGTTGTAACTAAAGTATCAGAACAGTATTCTGATGCAAAGCTTCCATTTGGCCTGTTTATTTGTAAGTGATCAGCGCAGGTACCAGTTGGTCCCGATAAACCGTGCTCGGCCACAGATGCAGAATGAATGGATTATTCAGGTGAATGGAGTGGCAATGTGCGGACCTTGACTAAATCATGCTAATGTGTATGAAATGTGCATGATTTCACTTGAAATTGGTCAATGAAGAAAGACAACCAGTGCTTTGAGCTTGCAGATCACTCACCTTTCTTTCTAACTGGCATCCTTATTTTTTTTCCTCACCCCCAAAGTGCTCAAGATGGTAATCCTATGAGTTTTCCCCCCCTTTTAGATACAATAATGTATAAAAAGTTCCCGGGCAAATATGTAAACTGTGTTCAACAGCGTTACTGGTGAGAGTTCTGTGTCAGAAATGAAGCAGCAGGCGGAACTCAATCGAAAGCTGTCATCCACTGGCACAAGGTGTATGACCGACTCCAGCGGCAGAGCGGATGACTGCGCAAGACAATAGGTGACATATACTGTACCAACATGCAAGGCTTGGCTTTTGCAGAGTTTATTCTGTTTGATGCAAATATGACGGTTGGCGCATCAGTTCGTTTTACAGTCTTATATAGATCCCCACTGTTGCGAAGTCCATTTTTATTCCCAAATATCCCTCAAGTGTCAAAATACAGGAAAAGCACAAAATGCACGCCCGCACACAGGTGTCTTTTCCCTCCCCCCTTAGTAATCGGCGGTGTAGACACGGTTCATCCTTTGAGGGAAAGCGCGGTATGGTATTCCCAGCCAGAACAGGTTAGCATGGGTGTTGTGAATGTTTTTTTTTTTCTCTTCTTCTCAGAAGATATCAATCCAGAGATTTTCAACAGCGATTGCTTTGGCTTACAGTTACAGGAAGAACAAACGTTGAAAACAACTATGCCAACTCTTCAACCTCTTAATTCAGGGGAAACTTTTCTTGTTTCACGCTGTTCTCCGGTAAGATCTCCCGAGTTCCAATCACTTTCCTCCTTGTTAATCACTAGCCGCCCGCTGGCATGATGTCAGTGATCCTCCCATGTGATGAACAGAGGGTTTATAAAAGAAAACCAATCACGGTCTCAACAAACATTAAAGGCACAGTAATATACTTAGAAGTTAAGAACAACGCAGTGTCCAAAAAAATGACGCGAATTACTTATGCGTACAATAATATTTGTTTCATGAAGCGTAAAAATATCTTTTCACTCTTCGTGTTGTTTAAGTGTCCAGGTGATCATCGAAATACAGATTCAGTTGCAATTTTAATGTCCATGCAACCAGTGTAAACACGTTTAAAAATTCTTCACATTGTCTGTAATATCCACTTTTGGTTCAGTCTAGGATGCAGTAGTAGCCTACACATTCCAGTAACAAGATGTTTAAAATATATTTACCTATGTTAAGAGCTGGAATAATGGTTAAAATACTTTCGATGGAAAAAAATATTAGTTTAGATCACAAAAATAGCAGTTATAAAGTGCAGCAACTATGCAACTGTTTATTTACAGTCTATGGTAAAGAATTATCTTTCTTTGAGGCTTGCGAACTGTAATAACTGACTGGTTGCTACGTTATTTCGAATCGTAGGTCTTTTGTAAACTGACAGATGTCTCATAACCAGCTTGTCAATATATAAAAACACCATCTACATTAGGTAAAGACCCTGGTCGCTGAAATTACGATAATAACTCGGGCAACAGCATTTTCAGTATCTTCTTTCTCGCACAACATAATCTCCACAGATTGCGACGCCTATCGGAAAATCCTTGCAAGTTTATCAGGAAAAACGCATGGCTGTGCATTTATATGGTGCTATTTTGTACATTCAAAAATATTGCTTTTGCATTTTTCCGCCAGTGATTTAAAATCTAAAATAATGCCGTATCGACTTTCGTTACATCCTATTCCCGTTACTTCCCTGTTAAATCTACGGAGCAGCAGCAGCACACTCACCTTAGCAACGAAACGGATGGTTACTATCCACTTTGATTGACGGAATGCTATCCAATAGAAGGAGACGTTTTTGCAGGACTGAGGATGTCTTGACCAATGGGAAAACGGGAAAGCATTTCCTTAGTGTGAAGTTGAAAGTTGAATTTGTGTCTCACGTGGTGCAAGATGGCTGCCCCCGTAGAGATAGGCGAATGATCACTGATGATTTTATATTGAACTCCAGATTACAGAAGCGGCGAATAAAAGAATGCGATAAGTGCAGTGCTGCGGTAAGGCGATCATCTTCTTTAACAGGCTTAAAACCCAAACCTAGGCTTGTATTTTTTTGGACATTCAGGGGTTTTCCAAGGTCATAACATTCTAGTTGTCTTGAGAATTCGGTTAACCGATTTAATACAGTAGTATTATCTGACGCAAAAAGTGTATATTTAAAAACCTAAAGTTTCGTTGATATTAGCATTATTAAGTTATCGACACAGTTGACCTAAAGTTACATGTTGCAAGTATGTATTCGATTTTTGTAACATATATTTACAGCACGAAATCTTCAGAGTAATTAAAATGATCAGTATTGCTTATAGTACGCTGGGGAAACGTGGAAACGGTGACCGTTTCATTATTCAGTAATGGAATATTTCATTGTGATGCTGATGATGTTAATTATTTGTTTCTCTATATGTAGAAAGCAAGATGTCGGAGAACACAATCTCTCCACTAAACGATATGATGGAAAACGCACCCTCTAAAACTGCTGTTGTAGATCTTCTTTTGAAGAGGTTTGAACAACTTCCAGAAACAGACAGGTAAGCACTCGAATGTGTTTTATCTCAAAACTACTTTTTACAGTTTATTGATTCATGTAAATTGACATTTGATCATGCTCGGCTCTGCGGTAAGATTTGTCTAGGATTACTAAAATAGCGTTGATTATACTTTATACTCAAGACTACAAATTTAATACCGAAGAGTGTTGTTTTAGGTCAACAATAAAAAAAGAGACGATAACTGCCATGAAAATTCACAAGCAATTTTAACGATCTTTTAGTGAAACTAAGTTAATCTTCTATCTCAATTTGCAGGAAATTCTTTGCATATGGTCCGATCTACCTGGGGATAAATGGAGCGTTTTCGGGACTGATAGCCAACAGTTTTTTCCGGCGAATATTGAATGTCTCTCAAGGCCGATTCACTTCAAGTTTACCCATGGCAGTACTTCCGTTTCTGACTACAGTAGCACTTTACCAAGGTGCAATAGCGAATCCTCTACTGTCAGGTTAGTAAATCGTGGCAAAGAAAATATTTTATATCACAAAATCAAAATGAAACCAGTTATATATGAAATGTTGTTGTGTTTCAGATAATTTATTCTTATTTCGGTTTTCAGGGGACTTGAACTGTTCTGTGTGTGTTCTGGTCAGAGGTGGACTGGTTGGTGCTGTTGCAGGTGGCCTTTATCCAATTTTGTTAGCCTTACCAGTAAACGCAGGCCTTGCAGTAAGGTAAGAGCCCCACAAATCATGTTTATGTTCACATTACTTTATTTCCATAAAGCTTTGCAGCATTGAAATATGTCCAACATGTGACGGGCTTAAAATGTTTATAGTGAAAACTGCTGTGCCCCACCTAATGAATTGACCAACACTTAGCTAACATGGTTTTGATGTTGTAGAGAGGTTACGGTTATATTCAGAACTTAGTAGTTGGACCACTACCCACTTAAAAAAATTCTGCCAAGTTAAAGTGAAATGTTCCTCCCATGATGTTTGATGTTCCAATTTAATTTCTTTCACCCACAGGTACTCCACTACTCCAATGCCAGAAAAGGGAAATGTATTGCGTTTCTGGATCACAGTTACACAACCGATCTTAAGGAAAATGAGCTTTGTGCTAATTCTTCAAGCACTTTTCGGCACTTACATGAGCTCACGGCATCATGATATCTATATAAAAATGCTTAAGCTGCCTGCTTCAGATAGAGAGGAAATGGAGTAAGAAAACCATCTAAAAAGTAAACGGAATACTGCTGCCAGAATCATTTTGGTATGGTCAGTGTTCCCTTAATCAAATCTCTCATTTACCTCTATACAGAAGCACAAACATTTTTCAAGTTCTAAAACGCTCATGTTCAACAAGGTGCATTTATTGCAAAATCAAGTACTATTAATTTTATAATGTGGCCTACAGATGTGTATTGTGAAATTAAACATGGTCACATTAAAACTTCCTTTTGGAAATCTTTTCCTGGTTTGTGATGGAATCAATGTATTTGTTTCAATTTAGGAGTCAAGGCTGATTAAACAAAAAAAAAAACTAATTATTTGGTTACTGGTTATTATTGTGTAATATTATTTAAACCATTATTCCTCCAACCTACTATTAAACAAGATCTCTTAAGTTGCTAAAACCACTAGTTTAATTCTCAGATGGGAGTTCAAGACAACAGCACATCATACCAGACGTTTTTCCATAAGTAGTTTTCTATAGGTAAGATCAATCACCCAAGTACTTCACAAAAGGTTATGTAATTCCCAGACTTACATTTTAATAACTGCACAGAACCATCAAAACACTTTCAACAGTTTTATCTGTACAGTATAGAACTAAAAATGCTTTACCTCAAATGCCCTGCAAAACCCAGGTAACAGATGCATCCCAACCCTTAATACACCTACTACTATGCCATTAGAAATTGGATATATGCACTGTTATCATGGCACTATCTCATGAGAAGAATCTTATCATTTGTAAAATCCTCAAAATAGAGGGTTCACAAATCAAATGGGCAATGAAATGAATAGGTACATTAATGGACACTGGATTAAGAATTCCCCCAGGAGGAACTGGAATCTGTTTTTGGTGGACAGGGAAGTCTGGGTTTATGTACTTGCTGCAACCACGACCCTCACGAGAAAAAGCAGAGTGAAGATGGATGAAGAATTGCACTGCCCACTTATAATCCATTCCTATTTGGCTAAGGATGTAGCTTTTAAGATTTCTTATCTGTGTGGTTACTATAAAGTGTAGATGCCCCATACAAACTATCTACAGCTCAATACATCTAAAGAATTTACATAATTTTGGTATTGGTTCTAGCAGAACATACCGAGTAGACATTATATGGTTTGGCACCTGAAGAAGGCTCTGCAGCCAAAGTGTTATGCTTTGATCCTTGACAATATATGACTAATTGTGGGCTGTGCATACTTTGTCTTCATCTTCTTTTAAGAATTTACAAGGGTAGTTTTCATACCAGATGGTAAGACTACAATTTTATAATATTGTAGAATAGCAAATGAAAGAATGTGTTAATCAGATCAAACAAGCAACATCAACCTAAGAAGCTAGATTGGCAGCCCATCTTTTATGTTCTTAATCCCACAATCCATTTCACCGGATTGGCCAAACCGATAACATGAGGCTTCCAACAGAATTCAGGTGATTTGATCATCCGAATACCAATGAATTCCTTTAACAATTACCCTTGTACCATTTTATCCTTTATGTTGAAGGAAAAGACTAGAAGTTTTGTCGACAATGCTTGCTGTTTGAAAAGAGAAAAAGAGATGCATTAATTCAAGCACCAGAAACTGTGCAAGAAAAGAACAGTACAGAGCTGAATTGACCCTAAGGTATTTACAGTAAAGGCAATTAACCTACTCATTAGTAAATAACTCATGGACCATTAAATGAATCATTTTGAGCTTTATTGTAGAATTCTTAAATGTTGATTCAAACAAAATACATTTCTAACATTATCAACAATTTTACAGAAATCAATACCAAACAAAGTAAAAATCAGAAAAGGTTTTGATGGCATGTGGTATATTTACCTGAAATCACTTTAAATTATTAATCTAAATCCCCTGATCCAATGTATTTTCAAGTTTACATACACCGTCAGTGTCTTGTTTATATTTAACATTTTACAGAGTATTCTAAGTGTGAACTGGGCACACTGCTCTTCCCCTAGCATGGTTAGGCTGGACCTTATAATAGAGGCACAGATGCATAGACCTTCCACTACACCTTCACCTTAAGCAGTAGTTTCACACGTCCTACGCTAAGATAATAAAAGTGCCACTGTAAGCACAGCTCAGACTTACTCAATATTAAACCATGTTGCCAGCATATAAGCCTTTTTCATATTTTCAAGTACCAACTGAAGTAACACCTGTAAACTGTTTTACAGCTGTATCAGTTCATATGTGTCGTATGGGGGACTGTCAGGCATTAACCTGCTAATTGGTCATCTCTTTGTTAATGGTATAAACTTTCAATGGCACTCCTTACGTCACATAGCCCATCTCGCTGAATTTTCAACCACTCCTTGTGCTGAGATGCCAGCAAATGCTGCAGAAACTTACACCTTTTCTTATACTACCTTTAAACAAAAACCAGGACAAGATGCCAGCAGCTGGTCCCGTTTCTTCAGCTTCCCCCACAGCAGAATCCACTTTAGCATAAAGAAAAATAAGGATGCTAAATGAAAATATTCTTTGAAAAAAAGGGATGTTTCACAAAGAGTATATCTTCTCCAAATATTTAACATATTTAACTTAAAACAAAAATATGCATAAACTTAACTTTGCCACATAATTCCCCAATACAGCAGGGGGTTTGTATCACGTTAAACGCAATACCAAAACAATACAAAACTCTTTGTGAAACCTCACCTCATTTTATTCATAATAAACATATTTTGTTGCATTAAATGATAGCCAAAAACTGTATTAACTAATTATTTTGTCAGAATATTCAACATTTTACAACATTTACAATATTCACATACAAATGCACGTAGGGACTGAAATTAGCAGTGATCTCATGCTGCCAGACTCACTGCCAAATAAATTATATCAATTTTAATCCCCACAAATAACCTCAAAAGAAACTAGTTTTTTATGCCTACAATCTCCCATATCCGGGCAAAAAGAAAACTGATAATTTCTGTCCCTGTATAAACTGATTTTGTGTTAACATAATCCATAGAAAAAGGTATCAAGCACAATTTAAATTCATATATTACATTTTCCTTTAACAATATCTTCCAGTACGTGATCCTTACCATGGAGTCATGGAGGCATGGCTGTTCTGTAACCCACCAACCCAGCATGGCACAACAATCACCTAGAAGAAAACTGTCAACAGGTTTAGCAGTAACTTGTAATGAGAAAACTTTACAATATTAACTGCATGCTCAGTTCTGGACGTTGTTGTACATACTTTGAGATCTACAAAACTAAGCCAAAATGACGTGCAGATTACAGTGTTTAAAGTTCAGTCTCCGGACAGCTTTTGAAAAGAAAACGGAAAGTACTTGACCCTACATTTTGAACGACGCGCTTGCACTTTCTGCACATTTCGTGCAAAATTCCACCGAGACGTGGTTCTTATCCACGTGTAGACAGACGCCCCCCGAGGTCTCTCTCTCTTCCACCTTCACCCTCTTCCTTGGCAGGGCGTAGTCGTGTTCGTCTTTTCTGGACTCCTGGAAAAGCGAGGTAGACAATTTCATGCCATTCACACCCGTGAGCCTGGATAAGAGCTGGGCTAACACGCTCTCGTTGGCCAGCACAGCTCTCAGGTACCTCGTCTCGTCTTCCAGCTCCTCGACTCTTTTGTTCAGGTGCGAGTTCTCCTCTTTCAGATCCTTGTTTTCCGTCGCTAGAGAGTTCACCCTGCTCTCCAAACCACTTACGTACTCTTTCTTTTTCTGACGATTCAGCCGTGCCGCGATCGCATTCTTGTTGATCTTGCCGGGGCTCCATTCTTTCGGCGGGGGGGCCTGAACACCACCCACGGGGGGCAGCCGGCCACGCACAGCGCCACCTGCCGACGGGTCTCCGTCTGGCAGCCACCCGGACAGCTGATCCGGACCCCTGTCCGCCGATAAGCAGCTCGCCAGATCTGGAAATCCGTCCAAGCCCATTTCGAAAAGAGGAGAGACAGCCTCTCTCTCAAATTTCCAGCTCGGGTCGCTCATGTTGAAGAAATCGTCAAATTCTAAGGCCGACAGATCCTCGCTCTCCGGCGAGGACCCCTTACTGGAAAAGCTGTACGCGCTCTCGGTCACTTCAACAGGTTCACAAATGCCAGCATTACGAGCTGGAGACTTGATGGCGGCATTTGACCTCCCTTTTCTGGTTAGTTTACCATCTTGCGCCTCCAACGTCTCAGTTTTACTCCGGGCAGGATCCAATTTCTGCCGTTCTGTCCGGTCACAACTGGAGAATAAATCAGTCGAAGACGGTTTAGTTCCGTCGACCGAACTATTATTTTTAAAAGTTTTAGTATTTCTTCTGCGTCCTCCGTGTCGCATTATTTAGAGTTGCAGACTAAGGAGGCCTGGATCGATTTGGCCTACCCCAAAATGATCACTTCCAAGAACTCCAGTCTGTGGTGCACAATTTCAAAACCTGGCAACAGTCTGATCGGCTGAAAAAATGAATCTGAATCGGCGAAAAAGCGGATTTTTTTTTACTGCAGTATACTGTCCGGACTAACCGCAGTGTTTCCAAATTAGGTCAACAAACAGCAGATGACACAGCGCATTTCAGTTCATGCAGATGGAAAAAGTTTTTTTTTTGTCGTGAAGTTGCCCGTCTCGGAAAGATGATAAAGTTATTGAAGGTGTTACCTCTTCTCTTGGAATAACACCGACGACGGGGCGTTATGGTTTACTTGTTTTCTTTTCGCCGACAGCAACCCGCTCCTCTCCCACAAACTTACAACGAAGAGAAAACGTAAGAGAAAATGGCGACGCAGATATCACGGATGAAAGACTTGTAGTCTCGCGAGGTCTGTGACGCAGAGACGCAATTTCCCCCCACCTTTAAAAATGGTGTTTTAGCCGAGGTTCGTAATGCCTACTATGGTGTATTTCTGAAATCTGAAAACTCGCCAGTCCTGGAATAGTGAGACCTAAGATACACTTATTGTGCTGTAAATGAATATGTAACGCTGTTAATGCTGTTACAATACAGAGCGCTCTGTAATAAATGTAATTATGCATGTGTTCATTTCATAGTAGGAGTCCCCTACCTTAGAATCCAGTCAAATTGTGCCACTAGGTAACTACTAAATCGTCATTTTTTAAAAGACTCAATTATTCAGTTATGGCTGAGCAGATAATATTACTTCGCAGGTTACATCGTTTGGTACTGCACAGCACAATACAACATGATCACTTAATGGTTTAATTGCTGGGACTCTTCTTTTTTTATAAGGTTTGCAGTGCTGTTTATCTTTTTGCCATGTTCGTTAGGGGTTGCTCTGAGCATTAAACAGCACTAAAAAGCATAAACAACCCCTTACGTCTCAATTACACTTCATCTGAATTTAATTCAGAGCAAAAAGTTAAAACACTGTATGCAATATGAAGCATCCATTCATAACTGAAGCAATAAACAACAGAGTACAATTTATGCCGTAGTACGTTTGACACTTTATTGCAAAGTGAGTGCAAAGTAAAAGCCAGGGGTAATGGGCATGTTTTAATTGTTACAATACTATAAAAATATGCAGAGGCTGTTCAAGTGGGAAATTAAAAAACACAATAAACTGAACAAGAAATGGATGTCTTGGAAATGTTTTGGAACATATGGTACAAAAAAGTGATCTTACATCTTAAAATCACTGATAGTTTGCAAATTTTGGTTATCTTTTTTTTTTGCCTTCCATACATTTTAGTCCAGATTAAAAGTCTTCAGACTAACAAATAAGGCATAAAACAGGTGTACACATTACCAGTAAAGCCATATCCTGGCTTACAACACTTATTTTTTGGTAAAACAAAAATCATAAAACACTTTCATATTTCAGACAACCTGTAATGTCTTAGTTAGGTATTTTAGATTAATTAATATAATACATTTTAGTTTATTGTTTGTTTTGTTACATTGAGTTTTCTTATCACAGAATCAGGAATCTGTTCTTCACCCAAGAAACAACGTGATTCTCACTGATTTGACATCCAGAAGTCAAGATCTTTGATAGAGAAGTCATTCACTCAATCTTCTGTTTATTTCCAAGAACTTTTGGCCATCATTAACATTCTCAAAGGTAACACATCCTCAACCCATTCGTTAGGAGAGTCTATCATTCGCTCCCACAAAGTTGCTTCATCTGTGTTCGAGTCCATCCAGTCCACCACAGCTCCATAACTTTTCCCTGAAGAGAAAGAGGTTTTGATAAGCATTTGGAGCAGAGGTCACTAGTGTATCCACTGTCGTTTGCCAATAAGGAGCTCAAACTAACCTTGTACTCTTTGAACAAATTGCTTACACCTAACACCTAACTGATGCTTACAATAAATACTTTAAAAAAAAAGTACTCATTCTGATACCTGCTGTACAAAATGCCCACAGGGAAACACAATTACACAATACTAGTGTGACCAAAGCAACAAATGGAGAGAACAAAGCATTGTATGGAATCCCAAAAAATTGCCTCAGAGACAACAAAAGATACCTTATAAATGGGGAATCAAAATATTGAGCAGGACAGCCAAAACACTAAACAGGGAAAACAAAATGCTGTACAGGCGATTCAAATGCTGTATAGGAAGAAGAATGTTATACAGGGAGACTAAAATGCAGTATAGGGACACTGAAATCCCAACTTAACCACTAACTGAAAGCAGCATTACAGAGACAGCAATTGTTTTATTGAATCAGTGAAGTCAGCTAATGCACTAGCAATGGTCTCTTGTCAAGCTCAGCGTTGTGCTGCTTTCACTGCCAAATGCAAAGCAGCCTCATGATTTCCCTCATGCCTCATACTTGAAATACCACTGTATTATTCACCAACAGGTATTTATGGGAAGGAAGTGTGTTGTAACCTCTGCAAAAGTCTCAGAGCACCCCCCGTTTTAATACTTTCTCAACGTGCTGTCATTCGGGTTTGGTAGTGATCCTTTCCTACCAAAGAAACTGCTTCGATTTCTTTCACTTGCGTCCCAATTCAAAGCTTTCATGGATTCAAGAAAGCACCACATAAATCTGAAATGCTGTTTAGCTGCTTGACTTGTCATTTTGTACGAAGTGCGACAGAAGCAGCTTATGTCATGGAGGGAAACAACAGACGATTACAGCTACGATTGGTGTAGTAATAATTCCGTATTCCCACCTGTGCCGAGGCCAAGCCTCAGTCCTCCCAGAAAATGGTTGGCGAGCCGGTCGTGGTCCCAGACGGTGAGCTCCACGCAGGCTTCCCGCAGGTCCTCGACCCGGAAGCCATCATACACCATGGTGTGGTTGAAAACGGGGTTCGCCGTCTTCTTCAGGACGCGGGTCTTCTGGCGGCTCTTCCTGCTGGTGTCTGGCAGCACCGAGCTGGGGAAGCAGGCGAAGGCAGAGTAAGAGACAGAGCCAGTCGGAAAGACAAGGGCAGTGCCACAGGAGCAGAAGGGTATGTGAAGAGAAATCCGGCAAAGAAAAAGGGAGGATGAGCAGCAAACACATGGGAGTCGGCAGAAAGTGTAACAGAGTAAGGCACAGTACAGAGTATGTACTGTCTATATACTGTAGCACGTGTATATGTTCATCGACTGTATAGGCAGACTGAATGTATATTCTCATGCCTTTCAACTTCTGGTACTCATTGAAATGCTCATATTTTATTTTCTTTCTGGATTTAGCTCACAACTCTAAAATGTTTTATTTTCACAGGAAGTGAATTTTCTTTGGATTAATCTCAAGCACCAGTTTGACTGTTAAAATCTTTTCTCTGTCAATAGTCTAGAAAGCCACATGCTAGCACCCTCTTGTGGACAGGACTGGGAATGAGTAAGGACAACTCGTGATATACAGTATAAGGTACAAAAACAGCATGATATCAAGAGCTACACTGCAATATATTTGATTTAACTACAAATCCTATTTTCTTTACTCTCATACTGACTTTAACAGCTGAATTGATTCTTAATGTTCTAATCTAAATGTTTCTGAAGACTTTTAAGAATGTGCATATATCATTGCTTCTGCACAGTACTAATATTAATAATATTAAATATTTGAATCATCACTTGAGCCCTTAAAATTCAGTGGTGCACAAATGGTTGAGGGCCGTAGTCCCCCAGTTTTTATATGAGCAATGAAATCCCCAACAACTGAAGGTCTTTAAAGAGAGTGATATTGATCTGGTTGGCTTAGTTAGCAGTTGAATTAGGCTTTTACCAGCTAAAGTGGAAGGAGATAGTTACGGACAGCTGATACTGACAGTGTCCGGTCTAGCCTCTAACAGTTGCGCTAGACAGTTATAAAAATTATAATGACTGTGCAAGTCTGTATGTGAACACAACTGCGGAAACGTTCATGAGGATATACCATTTTACAAACGGGTCGATAGCTGTCCCCCTGATTGCAGGCAGACTCTTGCAGTCCTTCACCCAGATGTGCACCTCTCCAGTATTCGGTGTATTTTTGCCTGAGCAACAAAACTCAGTATCAAACACAAGAATATTATACAAGATTAACATTGGAAGAATTCTGACTTTAGTGACACTTTATCAAACAAAACTGTTCACTGAAACAAAACTGAAAGATCCTGCCCCCTCCCAACTTTTTACAATTTTCTAGTTTTAAGCCAGATCTTCAGAAAAGGTGGGATGCTTTACTTAATGATACTACTTATCCCACATCACAAAACCCGCATGCTCTTCGCCCTAAAACTTTAACTTTGTTCTATCTCCTCATCTATCATCACTGCTAATTTAAACAGACAGGTGCAAACTAAAGGATCTGTAAACTGGATCTAGCTGCTTACTTTGTGAGATCTGAGGAAGAAAGCGCAGGGCTAATCTCATCTCTCCTCTGTAGTCTGTAAACTGGAGGCCTGAGGGAGTCTGCACAAGGAAACCAGAGTTATTCCAAAAAAAAATGCCTTTGAAACACACCTATTACACTGAGGTGATTGGTTCTACTCTTTGTTTACTAAATTTCTAAAAAAGGTCCATCACATGATAATATATAGAACCTCTTCAATGGTCCATATGACTTCAGGTTTAGGACTACCTGACAGCAAGGTATGAGAAAATTAGGACTTCAAAATAATGGCCTTTTCAAATGAGTGGAAGGTCTTTCTTGATCACTCATACTTGAGGTTTTGAATTTTCACAAATTTTCTAAAAACATTTTGTCCTGTAGAGCCAACAATTACAAAGCTTATCTAAAATGATCTAACAATGAAAGATACTGGAGCCGGTGCAATCTGCCCCTGAAGGTCGAGGCCTTACCCTCGGCTTAAGGGGGAAGAAGTTCAGTTGCGTGTTGCTCCAGTCCCACTTGGACAAGTCCAGGTCCACCTCACCCAGGAAGCTGTTACGGCCGAAAGTGTCATTGTGCCAAACTGAGAGGTTCAGGGTCTGAGTCTTGAGAGTCTCCTTGCTGATTTTATACTGAAAATAGAAATAAATTATGTTCAGAAATGCACTATTTTTCATAGACACACTCATTTTGTCTATTTAAAGCAAAATGTAAAGTGAAGCTACTAATTGTCCTTAATTATAGTCCAATTTTACTACCAATGTTGCCACAATCCTAGTTTTGTATCCCTTTACAGTTATGCTTTTCCTCAAATTCAGCAGTAATGAGGTACTGTACCACTACACTGGAGCTAACATGCTTGACGTGAACTCTTTAGTATGGCCAACTGCATGGCCCACAGTTTGTATGCCTGTCTACTGTGTGTTAAAACAGGAATCACCACTGCTGAGAAGAAGCTTCCTCTCATGATGACTACTGATCTTCGGCTTCACTAACTACTATCTAGGGCCACCTAAATGCCCCCAAAGCTTGCCAAACCTCTGCACAAAGTCCGTAGCTTTAGAAAGCACATAATGAAATCAAGGTTTAGAGCTTTTCCTAAACACATTTTTTCAGGTTAGTCATATTTTGATCTAAATCTTTTCCTACTGTTGAACATATACATTCACTACATGTGGCTGTGCTCTGAAATGGGTTTTGTTCTTCTGATGGTGCAAAGGTCTGTAGAACATAAAACCAGTAACACAGTTCTATTCAATATAATTTCTCAAAAGCCAAGGCTTGATTATCTTACCCTGAGGATCTCATTGTAGGTCGGATTCAAAGTCTTCTTCTTCACTGAAGTCTTCCTTTTACCCATCTTTGCTTTATCAGGTAAAAGATAACTTTTAACATACCTGGAATAAAAAAAAAAACAGTTTTCCTCAAAACAACATATTTGGACATTGCAATGGCACAGAAATACAGATTTTACATCGCTTATCAAATCTAGTTCAGGTGCTGATTTCAAAGACTAGCATTTGACTGCTGAAGAATGGAAGATATCCCCCCCAAAACACAAAATCGTTCAGATCTATTCAAACCATGTCTAGAATGAGAGACCAGAAAGATAATGATAATGATTCTTTATTAGCCCTATACAATTTCTTGCATTAGGAATGCGTCTTTTCGGATACCCCAGCTTTTCCCCATGGAGACACAGACAGGGAGAGAAGCTTGGGGTCAGAGCGCAGGGTCTGCCATTGTACGGCGCCCCTGGAGCAGTTAGGGTTAAGGGCCTTGCTCAGGGGCCCAACGGAGTAGGATTCCTCTGCCAGCCGCGGGATTTGAACCGGCAACCTTCTAGCCACAGGCGCAGATCCTGAGCCACAGAGCCACCACTCCACCCAAGAATGGTGCATATTGCAAATTGCTCCTGATGCTTGTGACAGAACAAAACATCCACTGGGAAAAAAAAAACTTGATTTAAACAGCTTGATATTCTCTGTTCGTAGGAACCGTATTTTTTCATTTTGGCCGGTCCAGAGCTACTCAACGTGGTACTCACGGGTCTGAGCGATTCTTTTTGGGGTCAGCAGCTGCCAGGTCTTTGCACTGGACCACAAAGATGTGAAGCTCATTCAGCTGCTCCACGTAGTCGATGGCGAACTGAATGTTCCCTGTGACATCCACATTGCCGAAATCCCCGCTATAGATACTCATGACACTTCCGCTGACCTTTCCGTTTGTGAGAAAGAAAGTTTCAAGTTTATTTTGATTTAGGCAGCCGAAAGCCTGACTGGGGTGTGCAACAGACGTTTCTGGTCATTTTGGCAAAAAGTGAAGTTCCTCACTGCTCTTTAATCCATTGGCTTTAATCCTCATGGTCTCAGAATAGTTTTTCCAAAGGAAGTATTTTATTTGCAAACTACACCCTTTCATTTGTGTAGAGCTTTTCAGCCCAAAGGATCCCAAAACACTTGGTGTACAGAAGGGAAACATCACAGGTGAAGTGCAGCCCTCACCTAGGAGATACACCCCTAATACACAGCAGACCAGGTGGAGACGTGAGAAATTACTTCAATAAATTCAGGAAAGCCAGATTTCCATACAGTGTATGTAAACATACAGTGTATTCCCTGCTTTTATTTCTTCATTTTGTCTGTACACCAATGTAATCACAGCAGTTCAGAAAATTATTGTAATCCTTACACCAACTGAAAGTCTGGATAAGAAGTTGGGTGCAGGAACACCTGAGAAAACACAGTTAAATTTCGCCGACAAAAATAATGGTTCCTTTCTTTTACGTAAGTATGTTTGTAATATAGAGGGACAAAAGAAGTAGACAAAGAAAGCTACAGCAAACAGCTTAAGAGTTGTGTTAAGCGCTATAGACAGGTAGAGTAATTTCATACACACTGCCTGGAGGAATTCAATGCCTGAATGAGAAACATTAGGGAGTTATAAATACAATTGTTAACTGACATGACATACATGCATACTGTACATACATAAGCTGGAGAAGAGCAAACATCCTATGTCAGAAAGCCACTATTTGCTGCATTTTTGTAATTAAAAAACAAGTTTGTATAAATAATAAAACCATGTTAGCTTATTAAAATTCTGTGCTTTAGCTAAGTTACAATGAGTAGAAGCTTGGGGTTGGTTGGGTCAACATACAGAGGACATTGATGCCATGCCAGAAGAGTTGCTAAGATTGGTTAGAGAGCTGCCAATCTTCCTTTGTCTGCCAATGTGGAAACTGTTCTCTGAGGTGGAGTCAGTGTCTCTGCCATCGCTCTATAAGACAGCGCACAAACAACAAGAGCTAGGTGAGACACAGGCCGTCATTTGCTCTAGGGTTAATAAGGCAACAACATCCTGCTTTGTGGGTTAGAATGGTTATGCTTTGCAACTTAGGTTAAAATAAAACGGATCTGATGTGATTGTGTCTTATTACATTACAGCATGTAATATTAAGATGTGTACGTGATCATGTAACAGTCATGTACTGCACATGAAAGAAGAAAAAAAAATCAAAGGAATTAAAAAACATAACAAAGCAAATATTAGAAGTGCTGAGAAAAAAAACCCAACATACCCTTAGCATGTGAAGCACTGTTAGTGAAAAACTGTATTTTAATTTTTCTATTAACCTAACATAGTCCTGTGCCTTTACGGATGCAAACCTGTATCAGAGCAACTTTCTCTTCAGGGGATTTATCCAGCAACCTGGAACACAGTCTCTGCCCTGACTGAATAGCTCGATTTATCCAAAATTCATTGTCGAACCTCCTTCATCTCACCACTGATTGCATGAACTGAAATTTAAGACTTTAAAAGCCAGTAGGTATGCCATTGACTTTCAGGGGGCCAAGAGTAAGGGTCTTTGAAAACAACAAAAAATAATCCCATCCGAAGAAGTATTCTGTGAAGCTAGTAATCAGCTTTCACTACAGAGCTCATTACTTAAAATAAGAGACACCAAAAATAAACAAAGTCTGTGTTTAAGAAAACCCAGAACAAAAATATTATCATTTTGTAAAACTAAGCCACTAGGGTTCTATTCTAAATTATTTTAAAAGAAGAACTAATTTTTAATATTCATTGCCCGCTAGCAAACACGTTATAGACTTTTTAAAATTTTTGTTACTGACAACTAACCCACCTCTTGCTGCAGGAAAGCAGGTACTGATCTGCTCATTTTCTTTATCTTCTCACTGTCCGAAAACTTTGAAGTTGGGGTGGATGGCACTGTGGAAACTAAATGATAGCATAGCAGGTGTGTGTGCACACTATTTAGACCTTTTTTACTGCAGTCAGAAGCTCTTGTTCCAGTCAAATAAAGACACTCAAAGGGTTACATCATCTAATGGCACAATTAAAAACCACAGTTGTCCTAATATTATATCCATTTCTACTATTTAACAAAAACAGATGAAAGTCTTTGAACTTTAATAATGCTATACATGTTCAAACCCTTTCTTGCTAATCTACAGCATATATTTTCTGAAAGTGTAGACATTTTTGATATGGCATTCACTTACAGTTCTCTGTCATCTTAAAATTGAATTAAAAAGGATTCTCTACTATTTTCAGTCTACAGATAAATGGAACACCACAGACCGGAACTTAATTTACATATTAAAACATCGACGTATAGATTTATTTTTTAATAAATCCATAACATATAATCCATACTGCAGATAAAGTAATAACATTATCAATTAATTTTTATGAGCTGCCCAGAACCTTCAGAAAACTGCTGTTTGCTGTTTGTAGAGCTTTCCTGACAGAAACAGAAAATACAGTGCAACAAATTTACTGTAGCTTAACATAGAATTAATGCATAAAGAGAATTTAGCTGCCGCAGGGGAGTAGAATGAGTTAAATCATTATTCATTATTGTTAGATTTCAGATAATAACACTTGTATTTTATAGATTTCTAGTGAGCTTTAGATATAATACCAGATCTGCACATGAAAACGGGAATAAAAATGAAATAAAGAACATGTACTACTCTTTATCTCAGACTGTGTTAGAATAGTGTATGGTTTATATTTTTTAACTGTTGAAGGGTGGACGCAGAACATGACTGCGGTCATGTTCAATTCACTTTCATTTTACAGGTATGTCACAATGCTGCCCAGCCAAACCACAAATCGACTACTGTCTTCAGCGCATCCTACAGCACATTCACATTTTCAAATGCAGGTCTGGCATGTGGTAAATATTAGGGAGCTAAACCACAGTGAGATACATAAAGAATATGGTAAGACACAAAGGTCAAAGAATCACCGGACAATTAAATCCACTTTTAATAAAAGCTTCAAAAAGAAATATTTACACAGAACAAGAATCATGCAACAATCACTCTGTATCTGCCTAAAGTTGATACTATGAAAGAACAACACCTAAAATTTAAACAGATATTGTTGGGTACCTATGGTTGGACCTATCAATATTTGTTAAATAGGTCTGGACTATATTAAACATTTGCACAGGTGAAGGGAGAGCTTGGGGGTTCCTATACATGCGGAAAAGGATTAGTTAAGACGGGCTTATTTTGGTTAAATGCATTAGTGGTTGTTTGTCCAGAACAGTACTTTCTTACTTACATCTTGGAACAATTTCTTTTGGACTTTGCTCAAGCTCTGAAACCTGGTCTGTTTGAATGTGTAAATCTCACATTAGAAAAATACAATGAGCGAAAATATGCACATTCATAATTAAGCATCACTGGAATTCCCTTTGTAAAAAAAGCTATGAAATATGTATCATAAACTGAATTAAAAAAAACATTTGTGGAAAATCTTAAGAAGTTATTATTTATCACATAATCTACATTAAGTAAATGTCACTGAAAAGAATGAAGAACATTTCAGATGTATAGAATACTTTTTTTTAATAAAAAGATATTGTCACTGATGTTCACAAAGACAGGATTTGATAGTAGGCAAATATTCTCTGCAATGTACATGCACAGAATGCAGAAGCCGGAAAAAGGTTTAGGAAAAATAAGAAGAATATTTACCATTTTCCACACTTAGAACTAATTCATCTCTTGATGTATTTTTGCTTCTCTCTTCTGCTTGGGGAAAATGGAGCTGGTTATTATTCAAACATCTGCATTTCCAAGAGCAATCTCTTTTCACACACACAAATCAAAGAAAACAAATTGATACCAGTGAGAGGAAGACTAATGCACATAAGCAAATACTGTATTTTACATATAAAAGAAAATGTACATCACAAAATAGCCTCGTAAATCAGGCAATTTCTCAGCTAAAAGTGGGCTCATCAGCACAGGACAGACATGTCTCTGAGCTCCTGTTGTTTTAGACTTCATTTCATCTGCCAGCTCCCACAGCTGCTAAGGATAAAGACTGGAAATGGTAATTAAGGAAGACTATATCTAAAGGTTGTGTACCACTTTAACAGCAGAAATCACCCATGAATAGTCCCCAGTGTTTAATACTTATCAAATAGTTATAAATTAAACATACTTGCATGTATGTATACAGTATACACAGCATCAGCTGTATACATGTCCCTCTCTCTCACTGGCTTCACAAAAACCATTTGCTTAAAGGCCTATTAGAATAAATTTATCTGAAATGCATTACACACAGGTGATTCATCCATCACAATATTTCACCAACAGCATACCTCAGCGTGCTCAATGATATTGCAATAACTGAAAAAAAAAACAAAAGTCACAGATGGGCCATAACTGTTTAAGATTTCATTTCCCTCACACTCTCCCTTGAGAAATACTTGTAAGAGATTTGGAAGCTGGTTTTCATGAGCAATGTTTATACGGAGTATAACCTGTTACATCAATATAAAGTGTGGACAATTCACTCATCCCAGTGTAACACAGGTTCACTGTAGGCATGAGGTCAAAGAAGAGAGGTTGTGCTCACTTGATGGTAGTGCTGTAATGTCCTCAAGACTTTTTGCAGACGAAACAGGCCTTGTAGAACTTCGTCTCAAGGCCCTCGTAATGGGGTTTTGGTCTTCATCATTACCTGCCACAAATTAAAAGGCATGAACTCTGCAAACATGAAATACCCACACATACTGTATCCTCAAGAGTCTCCAATACCAATCAGTATTAAAGAACAATATAACCAACATTAATGATTAGTTCCTGTTAAGTCATTTTGGTAGCCAAGCATTTGGTCATTTGTATGAGAGTAAATGGTGTACAAACGTCTGAAATGATCCCACTTAATGGATAAGGAAGCAGACCTTCTACAACAATCAAAAAGAACTTAAAGTCAATACTTAAAATTGATGCTCTGTAATATCACAGGTTTTCACCACAATGCATGGATCAGTGGATGCAGACAGGCCGTTCATAACAGAAAGCCTTATTCCTGGTAGGATTAACATCAACCCAGAGCCTGTCCTGGACATGTAGACAGAAGGCCAGTCAACCACAGGACACACAAAAAATAATTTAAAGATACAAATTAACCTACGCAGCAATTGGAGGTGGGAAAAAACTGAAATACCCAGACCAGTATCACATTGATGTTGTTCACATGTTGTGACTTATTTCTGGGATCCCAGGAGTTTGTTCAGCATGTTAATCTAGGCTGTCCTGAAGCACTTTTTAAAGTTTTTTAAAATACACATTTTACAATATTAATAGCTAATACCACTATTTTTTATTATTTAAAACAAAAATAAACGTATTATTTATTGGAACAGAGCTGAATCTACATGTCCATACATTTTGTTTTCAAAAATCATTTAAAATCACTTTCCCAAGACCCTAAGCAAGCCCAAAACCAGAAATACCCTCTTAAAACCAACAAATCAGTGAAGACAACCTCTCGTCATGCTATTAAGAGTCCACAAATGTTCCCCACAACCTACAAAGGAGTTGGTATATTTGTGAAATGATTCTGAATGTTAATACAAGCAGTATTAACAAACTGGAACTTTCAGATTAAAAAAAATAACCAAAATGTATTCAAAATACATGAAATAAAATGGGATTCAGAAATGTGAATGTGAACATATTGTACAGAAAAAAACTGAAAGGATCAGGTATCTTCAGATATATACATATATCATGTTTGGAAGTGTTTTAATAACGCAAAACATTTTGCTTCACTTGCATTCTTGTGATGCTTTTTTTGAATATTTCCAACAACTAGGAAGCATGACTGGTAAGAGTGGTCTAAAAAGTTTTTAATAATACAATACATTGAATGATATAAGTGACTAAAATAGTCACAGAAGGGCTGTAAGAGCTAGTAGATTTAAGGCAGAAAATGTCCTTTTGTAAACTCCAGTGCTTCCGGTGATGTATGTACATGGTACATCCTACAGTACTGTATGCTGCTTCTTGAAGCAATGTCTCTTTACTGAATTATTTAAATCATGCAAACACTATACAAGGCTAACAGCTATAAAGAATGGGAGTGTATTAGTGCCAGTAATTTGCAACCATCTATTTCAATGAATAAGACAGTGATTTTATAACATTTTACATTATTTAAAGAGATATCTAAAGGTCTTTTACTCTCATTGAGTATGAGCGTCCATAGTGCAACTGTGTCCTCTAATACAAGCATGACAAAAGAATGTCTAATATGGTGGCATGTGAGGCATGATTCTTTGTTAAACAATAAAGGAAGGAATTTCATATATTTGGACAGAACAAACCCAAATGACCCAGAACAAGAGTGTCGTGCAAGAAGTCTCACGAGCTCAATGATTATTTTCTCAGAATCAGAGCACCTCTTGTGAGCAAAACCCTTTGAGGTTTTAAAGTGGTCGGACACCATCAGTTACGACATAATTAGAATGTGAATTATATTAATGTCATTATGTAAACAACTAATATGGATAAAGAAATTCTCTAGACACACAGGCAGCCAGGATCATTACTGTGATGTCCACAATGTTTGGAAGTTTTGTTCTTTAAAACTTAAGTATACTATTGTGTACAAATAATGACAGTATTTAAAAATCACTACAAGGCTACCGTATTTTTTATTTTAGTCTTAACTCGGAATTCAACAAAAACAATAAGTCTTTTTTTCCTCTTGAAAGATTCAGTTATTCTAAGACCTCCGTCAACATATTATGATTCCATTAGCATGAATGATGTTAGTTAAAGGAATCCTATAATTCAGCTGTAGTTAAAATTCTTCACATATTGTTTAAATGAATGCAATTTAAAGAATTTTAATTCAAAGCCCTCAAGCAGCAGCACTAAACTGTAGTTTCACTTACTGCACAACAGGGGCAACAATTCCAACTACCCACCCATCCAAGTTCTAAATGCTTTATCCAATACAAAGTAGGAGCAGCAAATCAGCAAAGCAGTTTTACTTTTTCAAAAATATCTCAAAGGGTTTCTTAACAGATTTTGCTTTCATTAGATTATTATCTAATGAACATTTTTTAAATGTAGAAGCAGGGATAACAGCATCAGGGGAAAAAAAGGTTGCTCAAAAACTGGAAAATGAGACAAGAGAAAGAAGTAGAGCTATTTTGCTAATTTTTATAAAGGTCTTTCATTTTATGAAGCTATTAAATTGTGTCTCGGACAGGAAAGTCTACTGAATACCATGGCGATATGTTATTACAGAATACAACTGAGGACCATAAAGTATCTTGTGCTGAAAGATGAAGGAATAATTTTTGTATATTTACATTCAATATTAGTTACAGTGCAAAATGTCAGCTGATGTCAGGACTGGATTTCCAGCCCCTCTTCATTCCTTTGTGTTAAACCCTGCTTCCACAGAAATCACATTTGTTTTAAATTACTTAACCGAATCACAACTCTCCCGCTTTGAAATTCCAATTAAATCACCTGAAATGAGTGGTAAAATGAGACAATAAAAAGAAAATTAAAGCTCACAGGCTGAACTTGCCCAGGAGAAAGACCAGGTGTCTGATGCACTGCTCCTGGAAGAACCTTCATAGTCGATGTCTTCAGTATTATCATGAGGAAGAAGCCAGGGCATCTTCCTATTTGGCTTTCTCAGGTTCTCCTCTGTCTCTGTAGGTGTACTTTGTACTTCACAATATGAAGGCATGTCTCCCACCTTTTTCTCTGATATTATACCTTCCTTTGCTGTTAATATTTTTCCTTCACCGAGATATTGTCTTTCACCAAGGACTTCTTTACCAGTTCCCGAGAGGGGCTCAGGGGGAATTTTGATTTGACTCATCAGGTTTCCTCCATGAATGTCTAAGACAGGCTGAGAGGCAACTCTGTATTCTTTTTCACTCATGATGCCTCCTTGCGTCCTGGGTGGCTCTGGAGAAGATCTGACACCCATCACAGCACTGTAGGACTGCACTTCTGTACTCACTGAGCTTGGGGCCAAGCTCTGCAGTGGTGGGATGTGAAATTTCACCCCCTCTTGAGGAGGAAACCCTTTGCTCTGCTCCAACACTCTACTAAAAAACCTGTCCTGTTGGGGTTCTACAGCCTCACACTGTGACAGATCTTCTTTCATTTGAACAGATTCCGCAGAAGAAGGTGGTTTCGTCAGTAAATGGGGAGAAACCGATCTCTCCCCTTTCTCTATCATTTCTTTCTTAGGTTCTGTGATATCAGCAGAAAAACCTTTCACTAGCCGTTTTTCTGCTCCAAAGGATCTAACACGAACATCTGCAGGCTCAGTAGGAAGAACTTTAGGATAATAGTTTGGGTTCATAAATGGCTTCTTAACCTCTGTTGGTGATTGTTCTTTCAGACGGAATAGCTCAGTTGTCTCCTGAACGTTTGAACTTGGGCTTGTAGGGCTTTTTAGATTCACTGCCACATTTTCTGGAGAAGCCACTGCCACATTTTCTGGAGAAGCCCTTTGCGTCTTGATCAGGAATGGGCTGGACTGGCTTGCAGATGCCCCTCCCCAGAAGTTACGAAGGTTCTTGAATTGCAAGTTGGTTGAGCTCTGACCCCCGGACTCCTTCTGCATTCTTTCCTTCATTGACAGAACTGTGAAAGTGGGCTTTTGTCTGGACAGCGAGGAAGTGCTTTTTCTGTCAGAGCTGCTGCTGGGTTTAACATCAGCTACTTTAAGGTCTAAATCAGAGGTGGTGGCAGGGCTGGCTTTCAGAGGCTGCTTTACCTCGCTAATGGAGGCACGAGTCTCAGAAACAACTTTCTGCTCACCCACAATAATCTTTGGCCCACTCTTCTCCTTCTCCCAGAATGACTTCAGATCACTTATCTTGCCACTCCTGCTATCTTCTCGACTGAGATTGCGCCTGATAAGTGGTACTGGGCTGCTCTGACACACATGTGTGCTGTGTTTGGACAAGGAAATCAATTCACACTTGTGTTCTTCTTCCTCTGGACTTCCATCAGCAGCAGTATTTTGCCCTGCAGATGAGGTGTACACTTCCTCACTAAAAATGATGGATTTAGGAGTATAATTTATCTCCTCCTCTTTCTGATTACTTTCAGAAGAAGGGAGACTTTCCTCTACAGGGCTGGGAGTAAATGCTGCTTCTTTCTCAGAGTCACTCATCACACTTCTGTATGGTTCATACTGAGAAATGGTAGGGTGAAATTTAACATAATCTGATATTTCTTTCTTATTCTCTTCTGCATCAACTGATGCACTCCAGGTCCTGCCAGATAAGAGCCTTTTCTGAATGTAATCTGTCCTTCCTTCATTACCTTCCAGGTGTACTGCATACTTACCATGAACCTCACTTCCACTGTCAAGAGCCTGAGTGTCTTTCTCAGCCTGCAGTGCAAAATCCTGGCTTTCATTATATGAATGTAAATCGGCCTCTTTCAACTTACTTTTTTCATCCTTCAAATTATCTGCTTTTGGTTTGCCCAGCAGTATTTTGGGACCACTGGTTCCCTTTTCCCAGAAGGATTTTAAATTGGCTACTTTTTGTGGTGAATCTTCCGTATGGCTCTCCTTCTGTGAGTCTTTATCTTTTGTGTCCATCATGCTCAGGTTAACTGGGGAGCCACCATGTATGTAGTTCTCCCTACTGACACTTGTGGGATGGGGATGCGAGATGACATCCAAGTCATACACTTTTTTGTCTGGGAACAAGGATCTCCCTTCATACTCAAACCCTTTCTTTGGCTCATTTGCAGCCATCCACCCCTTCGGCTGAAAAGCTTCGCCTGAGTTAAGAGAGGAATGGACGGTATAATGCACAGGTGTGAATTTGTCCTCGGATTTCTCAGAGTAAATACCACTTCCAGGAGTCTTCACTTTATAGATGTCTTCTTTACAGCTGATGACCTTTTCTTCTACTCCTAGACCTTTGTCTGATGCCCCCCTCTTGTCACTCTGTGATGATCGTATGTCCTCAGCACGGTACCTCATGAAGCCTCTGTCTCTTCCTGACTCATCTGTGGCAAAGATATGGACACCTGGCTCTTGCTCTACCTCTTCGTCATACTGCTCACAGACCTGCTCGCTTGGAGAAGGGGCTTGTCTGTCAATGCTTTCGGAGCTCCTGCTGAACCACTCTAGGACCTTGCTTATGGAATCACCCTCCTCCTCTGTGAGCATATAGCTTTGTGTGTCTGGGTTTGAAGAGGCCGCATGACTTTCCACACCAGTGTTATCAGCCTTACCTTTCTCATTACTGGAAGACTGAATGTTGGACACCTGAGGGGCATAGGTCTCAGCATGATATTCATGTTGATCTGTAAAAGAAACATTTTTTTTTCTTCATTTTTGCTCATTCCATATGACCTTCAAAATATCTTTGCCTTTAGAAAACACGGGATCTTACAATGTTATCGTTACTGATATTAACATGATTATAAATGTACTACTACTAATAGTAATAATAATACTATTTATTTTTATAAAAATAATAATATTTATAATGTAATGTGAAATTCTAAATCAGACAAGAACTTCAAATGAAATGCATGTACTGTACAATTTTTTATAATTATAATTTCATAAGTAAAATAGAAAAATCTGTTGTCGTAATGACTGAAAGGATTGCATTCCTTGCAGTCCCAATTTACCAATCACCATCAGCAAATGTGACACATATACATGTGTGCACATTGCGTTTACAACAGGTATCGTTGTCAGTAAGGTTGGGTTAGTAAAAGAAATGCAGAAGGTCAATAAAAGCAAATGTTAGATGTTAGATTTTTAGATTAGAAGTGTTTTATGGTGTATTTAATATTATCTAAAACACCTTTTATATGTATTTGTTTTTTTGACAATATTTGAATATACATTTTGCTGCAATAAGTTGCTGGCCACCAAATGGTTGTCTTTCCTGGAGCTTTAGCTATGGATTTTGCTTCACTTATTAAGCAGTTCTTACAGGTGATAACACAATGGTCCACTGCTGACTCATTCAATCATCAGAGCAAGCAACTGATCAGTTGATTGGATTGAAATCATTTCACCGACTGAAAAATCTGCAAGCAGTCTTACCAACAGGGATCTGAGGAGGCTCTATGACTCTGTTGTTCCTTTTTGTCAGTTCCCTGTCGCTCTGAACCTCACCTGTGTCCCTCTCTCTCCAGTCCAGATTCACCCTAGTGTGTGACCTGGGAGAAGAAGCCGAATGGCCCGGGGCCTCACTCAGAGGCCCCTCCGTATCTTCAGGCAAGGATGTTTTTAGCTCATTTGCGGGGAGCAAAGAAGATAGGGAGGTTTCAGTTTCTGGAGCACGGGGTTTTAAGGAAGGATCTTCTGGTTCCAGAGGCCCCACACCAAAAGCTTCACTAAAGGGTGGTCCATTGCCTCCTCCATTGCCTTGGTTACTTTTCTCTGATTTGCTGCCCGCCTCTACGTCTGACGGTGTCATAAAATCCAGATCCAACAGGTCGTGCTCCCCCAGTTCCCTGCCATCCTCTACCGCTGAAGCTGTTCTGTGGTTTCCCTGTCTAACAGCCGGGGAGAACCGGACCTGTTTTCTATCTAGAGAGTTGAAGGAGAACTCCTCCATTCTCTCCTTGATGCAGCCCATTCCATCAGCAACTTTCGGTGGGGGGGCACCTTGGAGATTAGGAGTCCCGTCACCCGCAGGTTCTAGATGGTGGATGATGCTGTTGCTGTTATTCTGCACCATTTCAGAGTCATTGGAACTACAGCTGGGACTGTGCTTCAGGATTCCTCTTGGTGTACTAACATTGCTGTGCAAGTCTCCCCTGCCATTCTGCTTTGGGAAAGGCCCATCACTGTCTGAGAAGGAGTCCTGCAGTCGGAAAACCTTTGTTCTCTTTTTGGGAACTGGTGCTTGCTTGATGTCTCCTTGGGGTACACTGGGATTCTCTGAACTTAGATTACTAACACTTGGTATAGCATTCTTGGCAGGTGGCAAGATCTCTGCAAAACAAGGGGAACAATGGGGATGGATAAAAGAGAGTGGTAGGTGCACACCACAACAGAAAGCATTAGGTTTTTTACTAACTGCATGTATGAATCCAGTACATTAGCACTTAACCAACCAACACCATGTATCCAGATCCATAAAGTAACACTCAAGTGAGTGTTAGCATGAAAAGCATGTGACATTTAGTAACAGGAAAGTGGGATAAAAGCTTAATTTACTGTTTAATGTCTCTAAATAACTTGGATATGGAGAACTTTTCAATTGAATTAATTTATCTGGGAAATCAAATGTTTCATGTGAACATTATAAATCATTAAACTAAGATGAATGATGCAATAGTTCTGTAAAAACAAAGAAATGCAATGCCATTTTTCTAGTGTATAACTCTTTATTTATTCTAGGGCAGTCACCACCACTGAACTAAGCAAATGAACTCCTTGAAAAACATCCTTCGGATATTTTCAGGTTAGAGAAAAAATACGTAACTGTATGCACATTGTGGTTCAGTCATGCGTGTCAGCTTACGGCCTTTTACCAAGCAGTACATGTCTTTTCGAATATAATCCTTGAGCAACATGAGCAGTAGCATTAGCATAGCAGACTAAACACTAAGACCCACCGAATTAAATTCTGATGCTTGTCCTGACAAAGCTTTGCTCATTGGCTCATTTCAGCAAATTTCAAGGTGCTTAATAAAAAAAAAGACTCTTCAGCCTAGTTAGGCTTTGAAAAAGAAATAAAACATTTAAATTGAACAATAACTGGCTAGAAACAAACCTAATAACTTCAAGCACAAAGGCATTCCTACCTGTTACAGTATGTAACAAAGCAAAGCGTTAATCAATTGGGTTATATGGTGCTGCCAATGCACTACGATACAAGTGTAAAGCTAAAAAACATTCGCCTTTATATTTCTTTAAAAGCTTTGTTTATTTTTATATTTCAAACTTTGGCTTCGAGGATTTTGTGTTTTAAAAACTTTGGACTTTCTGTTTATTATCAGGGCTGTGTTTTTAATTGATTAAGATGCACATTATGTGCTTTGATCAGCCTATAGTCGCAGATTAAATATTCGTTACAAAAATAGTGTGAGTTAAAGTTTGCATGCCTGTTTGTATGTATTTGAATAGTTCTATTACAATGGTTCACATTCACAGATGTGATATTGTTCTTAGCTTTGTGTGGGTTAGAAACAAAGATCCCCCAAACAGCACTGGAGTATGCGTGCATTCAAAGGATTGTGAAGCACTTTTAACAAGCACAGCCACTCATGCATATAACACACAGCGAGGCATGGAGACATGCAGGGGACGGTGCTCAGGCGCAGGCACAAGGAGCTGAAGGTCTAAAAGAAGTCACGTGCAGGGGTTTCAATGGGATCAGCTAACCAGACTTACTTTTGATTGCAAGGAAAATATTTTGATAGTCTGTCCTTCAAGTCGTCCATTCATTTTAACAATACATTTTTTAACCTAAATGAGATCTTAAATACCTCATTATTTGACACATATTCAACACATTTAAGAACACATTTCTGCTCACAAGTAACACCACAGCATCATAATCATTAACATTAACTTGCACTGACATTTCTCCTCTGGCAGTGCACCTACAGTACAATAATATTTTGAAATACTGTATCCAGTCCTGCTTTGTAATGTGTTTCAGGATTTATTTAATTAAAAGGGGATTCCAGGTAGCAATATAATTTTCATAAAATCATTTATACTTTCAACTACTTACTGGACTTAAATCTACACAACTCTGACCAACTTTACCCAAGTGTCAGCACACAATTGGCCGTTTTGGTGGATGTTTATCAGCTGTGGTAGGTTTCTCAAGACAAACTGTGACTCCTGTGATGGACTGGGTGATCTGCAGCCTTACAACTTAATTGGTGAGAGACGCATCGCTCCTCCGAGAGGTGCAAACTCTCCCACAAGGCAGTGTGGAGCCTGCAGTGTGGCAAACGGTAAATGGCCCTGGCAGGAAGGTGTTTTGGAGGTGTATGTCTGCCAGGCTTCATACTCTCCATGCAGTACAGGGGTTGCTGCTGGAAAGTTTTTAATGATGATTCTAAATATGATTCATACAGTATATATATATAAAAAAATAATTGGTGAATATTTATAAAACTTCCCACTAACGATCGTACACAGCAAAGCCAACCTATAGATCTTGATACTATAAAAAGTCACACATTTCAACAATTGCGAAGGCAATATCTTTAGGTAAAGTGAGACACCATTGGCTTTTTGTTAATACATATTTAACAACTAATAATTTCAGCACTTCTTATCAGGAAAAAATAAATATATATTAATATATACATATTTTTAGGCACATTTATTTAAGAATGTGAAGTTATACACCATATAAACATTTTACTTCATTTAAACCAGCCTTTCAACATTTCAATTTGCTTTACAGACCTTTCTCAAGGGAGGGTGTGTACAGCTGTATTTTCACATACATTGTGCATTGTGTATATTTGTATACATTTTAAGTAAGATCATGTGCTCTCTTAAAGATAAGCCCTGGAACCAAGGCCCGTGACATTCAGTTTTAAAGGATTCTATTAACCTGTTCTCAGCCATACCCTTTCCAGTTGTAAGAAAAAATTGAAAAACAAATTTGTTACTGTAAAACAATCTGTACTATTAATCAGATATACAGAGAAAGAAAAGTACATTCTAAAAGTAATAATATACACTAGAAAAATGCACCGATGGTCAAAATGACTGACAATTTATTTTTCTGTTTCCAATTCAAACAGATTTAGAAATCTTCTTCAGTGCTTTTTGCTTCACTGCTGTTTTTGAATTTTTGGAAGCTAGTTAACAGTAAATGGAAGCCTAATTGTGGGCTGATCTGAGCACAAAGAACATATGGAAATCGTTTAAAAACCCTGCTACTCCTATTCTCAGCCACCAGGCATCTCTCTTCTCTCAAAAAGGAGCATCTGCTGTTGCTGAAAAGTCATTAAACATCATTTCGCTGTAAAAAACTGAAAGGTAAATTTTATGGTAACTCAAGACAACATCTTCCAAGGCCATTTAAAAGATGTATTTAAAAATATTAAATGAAATCACTCTTTAAGCTCTAATGCTATGCATCATTACAGTAACATGACCATCCATTTTCATTTGCATTATGAAATGCCATGTGACATGTTTCTGGTAAACTTACTGAATGATGAAGGTAGCACTACTTACCCCCTTCAGATGTCTTAACGGGTTGCAGAGCTCCATTTGTTAAGTGGACTTCTCTTTCGTCAGCTGTCTCTTCCCCATCAGACATACTGTTAAACGGATTCTGTCTTTGCTAAAATTAGAATAAATAAGATACATTTCATACAACACTGCTTTCTTGAGAACATACACCTGCAACAATATATTTAATGTTACATGAAAAACAATGCATTGACATGGGAAAATGGTCTGTGTTCTCCCATTGAGCGACTGCACCTGATGTAGAGGGAAAATGTCAGAAGACTTCACAGACCTTGACAGACGGTGTTGCCGTTTTCTTAAGCTTGTCGCCCTGGGTTTCCAGGGAGGGATGGTCACTTTTCCTGGAACAGCCAAAAGAATGCTTAGCAAAAACTAGGTATTTTTAATGATCATAGAGCAAAATCACATGCAGGTGTGTTAACTTATTATTTCCTTCATGTTGTTTTGAGAAACCGGTGTAATAACTTGGAACAGATATAATGGCTTACACTGAAAACCCTGTAGATGAGAGAAAAGCATTCGTAAAGGAAATAAGCTTTTTATCCCGCTTGTCAAGGAAGTTAATACAATATAGGTTTGACTGTATTATCTGATTGAAATGGAAGTTTTACATTTCCAAATGATAAAATAAAATAAAAATCTGAATGAATCCTGCTGATAATTACATTATTAGATGCTGGGTCAGTATAAACCCAAAGGTGTAACCTGTCAAGACAAAACAACATGATCTGTGGAAGTTATATAGCTCTCCGTGATGCAGGTGCCTTTGTTTGTGCTTTTCTTCCAATACTTAAAACAAAACGCACAGGAACCTACTGTACTATTATGAAGTATGTAATAGATCTAGCAGAATTCATTCCTGCTTTTGTGTTATTCTGTGGTGTATAATAACAAATGGGGGAAAAAGCATGTGAGTACTGACCCTAGAAGAGGCTTATTTATGAACCTGAGGCACAAGGCTCTGCTCTCTGTCTGACTCATTCCTACATGGTAAACACACCAATTTGTTCTGGCTTGTAAAAAAAAGGTTACCCTTCCCAATTCCTAAACAAGAATGTGCCAGATTTGTGAGATAGGAGTAGGCAGAGGCCTGGTTTGAGTCCACAAAGAATGTACGGACAGGGTGCATGGGCTGTCCAGATAAAAAGGGTGAGCTTTGCACTTCCTTGCCACATGCAGCACAAGCTAGAATAAAGGTTCTTAAAATGTACAGATCTGTAAGTCAAAATAACATTATAAATTTAGCTGCTTTGGTTTTGTTGTAGTTCTTTTAACTTTTCCCTTTAGAACACTACTAAAGAGAGAAAATACGACGAAATCTGAATTTATGCCATTACTACTTAAGTACGTAGCAAGTTCAATGACTTCAAAGAGTGGAACATAGCACAAAGCGTTTAGCAAGTACATGTTGTAAATAACTTAGAAGAGTGAGCTTTATAATGGCAAGTCTGACTCAAACATTGTACAAATTAGACTAAAAGTACTGCAATTAGACAAATATTGTCATACATAAGCATGAATTAAGAGCACAACTGGCATGTAGACGAACACGAACATATTCTGTTTTAGTGCTGGCAGACTCCAATATTTTGTTGCCTTCCTAAAATATCTGCTGATTCTATAAGTGAGCCATCAGATTAGTCACAATATAATAGGCCTTTGGGCCTTTGGCTGTGAAATAGTCAAACACTGAGGCTCACTGATATTTATTTTTCGTAATGTCATAATGTCAACATTGTAAGCCTTTAGGTAATTATGTAAATGGATGGTTGCTGATTATATGTGTGAGGACAAAACAGCACACCCGTTTTATGGTTAAAAAAGGTTTTTACTCATAGAAATATTATTCTCAGATAAAGATACAGCCAGAGTTGTGCTTGTTGTGTTAAATAGCGAAAGCATGAAGCAAACTGAGGTATGGCATAAACTACTGTTGCAAAAGCTTACCAGCATCTCTGTGATACAAGTAAATAAACAACAAAAAAACATTTAAAATGATACCGTAAAAATGAGTAGAAAAATTAAAGGGAAAAAAAACTCTTTATGTTTGATGCACAGTTTCTGCACTAAATCTGAATTAAATCTATAGGAGTACTATATTACTGTCATTGTTGAGACACACCTGCCTCTATAATGTGTTTAATGCATGCAAGATATGACTCATGAGTGACTATTGACGTAGTATGAGTCACACGGTTCTATTAACATTTTCACAGGACACCCACACCTCAAAGACACACACATGGCTGGAACAGTGAACCCATACCTGGAAAGGAACCTCACCTAATACTTTGGAGTGTAACACATTGGATGTGATTAGCCTCTGTTTGTTGACAATGAACTGTATGATCTTCATTAGCCATAACTTCAAAAGGCTTTTCTTCCTCTTCTCAATATAGCTTCTTAAGACAGTGGTAACTATTACACTGAACTGGTTACTCAACATACAAGTCAATCTTCTTGGCTGTGCACATTTCTTCCTACTTAAAAAGTCTATTAATAATCCCTTTTTCTTGTTATGAAAAATGTTTTATATCACAGAGAGCTAGGTATGAGTAATTTTATTTGTACATGGACATGCTATGTTATGAACACAAAGAGCCCATTTGGCTGGCTCTTTTAAATCTTATATTTCTTTGACGCATGGACAGATTGCATGCTAAATGCTGCCAGAAGTAAATGAGGCCACTGAAAAAGACTACACCATAAAATACAGATTTTAACAACAACCACACAAAAATAATTTAATTAACAAACATAGTGGGAATAAAATAAAAGAGCAACTTCTTGTTAGACATAAATTAAATTAATAAAAACAATCTTTTTTCATCATTATATCTCACCACACACAGGTAGTGCGCTAATTTCATTTGCACCCAGAAATTCCCTGAGCTAATTGAAACCTGGCATTGTAATCCCTTTCTTGCCCCAGAATGAGGTCTTTTCAAAGCACACTAGAGAAGGCTTGGGAAACTTTCTTCTGTTCAATAACTCTCCTACAATCAACCCTCGTTCTTTGTGGGAAGTTACTAAAGACTTCATTAGGGGCTCTTGCATCTGATTAAAATAAGAAAACACATACTGAGCAATTTTCTTTTCTTGAAACCACAACTTTGCATTTGGAAACAAAATTAAATTGCAACTACAGGAGAAAAAACCACAATATGTTCTCGAGCAGAATTCCTTCTAAAAACAACTAGCCAGTTCTATACTGAAAAAATGCTAATTGTCCTAGTAAATTATTAGCATTAAGATTAAGACAAAAGAAGTGTTTAACCTAGGCTGAAACAGTTAGAGATAATGATGAGGATGTGATCTCTTTTCAGGACTTTGTACTAAACAAATGTACCACATCTATGTACTTCTGAACTCAACAAAGATATGTCCCAAATTAAATAATTCTTGAGACCATTGCAACTACCTCTGTTGCCTTCTGAACACAAGCTTTAAGAAGCTCCAATTATTTTGCTAATTTGTCCATGCAGAGATATCATTCTAGTAAGGGAACAAGTAATAGGTTTATTCCTCGCTTCTTCGGGTGAGAGGAGAAGGCTCCACAGCCGAAACGTTGTGTTTTCTTTCTTCTCTTTTCTGCATGGAATAAAACCTATTACTTGTTCCTTTGCAGCCTATGCATGCTGATGCAGCTACCCACCTGATATAATTGTAGTACACTATGTCATGGAATTATTTTACAGCTTTCTCTGAACATCAAATGTTCTGAACATCAAATGTCCTTATGCCTTTGAATTCCTTTGTATCCTGCTGCCAAGGACAGTACCAATACTTGGTCACCAAGACCCAGGCACAGGCCTTGGGATTCTCCTACCAGGGAATGAAATCTCTTCTCATTTACAGTCAAGTCTGACCTCCACCATAAAAAAACAATATACAGCCACACCTTTTTTTTAATTTGAAGAAGTCAGTCTCATTTTCACTTTAATATTTAGAACACATGTATTTGTTTTGAACTAGTTTCATTTGGAGAGGCAAGCAGGCAGAATTCTGGCTGGTGACCCTAAATCATGCTACAACGTACAGTAAACTGCTCAGGGATAAGGTAACATATTACTAGTAGGATTTCAAGCAAAGTTTGTTTAGGACTTAATTCTGAAGCCTCAGCCTCATGGGGCCCAGCTGAGGAGGAAGTCAAACCAATTAGGCTTCAGAATCTTTAGTGGGTGGCTTTATGTGTAAGCTTTTTTGGTTAAGTAATTTTTTTTTCTTTTTTGCATTTTTAAAATGCAAATTTCATTATTCTAATGTGTGCTGCTGCACTGCCATTGACCTGTTTGGGATTATTACATCTCTTCCACTATTATCTTGATCAGTTTGATGTCTGCTGTAATCTCTCTGACCACTATTTGAACTTATTAGCATAAAGGAAATTTGGAGTGTTGGTCATATAATATTGGTCTGAAACTTTAAGGAAAAGATAGCTAACTTTCTAACTCCAAAGAATTCTAAATTGTGTTTAGTAATATCATAATCTCAAAACGTTGCATAATGCATATTTGTGAACTATAGCTGTTTCTGTTATCAATGTAAGAATATACATTGTATAGCTTATACTGTATATGTAGCTAATAAATTACCTATGTAGTTAACAAATTACAGATATTTTAGTACAAGGGTGTCAGATCAATTTATATGTCACATTGTCTTCTGACTTCTGTTCACCCAAGGCTCCCATTATTTAATTAGCCTAATTCTTGTATTAAGTGGATACGATGCGCACGTCTATCAAAGTGTAGAAAAGCTTTCTATGCACTGTAACTTTAATCAGCTCCATCATTTCCAGCTGGAAGGAAAGCTTGACTACATGGAGACCCAAGTCCTCAAAGCCTGGAGCCTGACTACCCTGCATGCCAGTGTGTGTCAAGAGGGGCCTAAGTTGTCACCTCTCTTCCTCTTGCTCCTCCTCCGGCTCCTCAATGAGTCCCGAGAGTTCAGGCGGGATGAAGATGTCCCGCTTCTCACTGTTGACAAAGCTGGGCTTCTCTGCTTTGCTCTGGCTCAGTTCCACTGCACAACAAGGAAAGAAAAGAAAAGGAGCATGAAGAGCCAGGGTGGATCATGACTGACCACACTGAGACACCTTCCCTCTGTTAACCTCCCTGACATCCCATGACATAGTCTCTACCTGCGCTTACTTTTAAGAAATAAACATATAAGTGGACTGAGAGCTTCTGTTGATTAATATACAGTACATGCACAAGCAGATGTCTCAGACTCCAGAATTCTGTTAGTTTAATTGAGTACGAGTTCATCAACTTGCCAGGAACATAAATTTGAAGGGGGAACTGCTGTTTCTCAGACTGGTTATTAAATCTCAGTAACAAAATAATTATTAATTATTTTTAATAATATAAGATTTTTACAAATTTGACCAATTTCAAATTAATCATAAAATCACAAACTTTCTGAAAGTACTGTAAGTTGCCGTTTTGTTGCAAACCCCTGGTCTCGCCATTGGCGATAACAGGAGTTCCCACGCTTTGTGAAGTGATGCAGCCCTTCCTGCTCACTAGTCACTGTCATTACTAAGGTAATGTGATATACGAGCAAATAAATAGAGGTTGTGCAGCACACTGTTCACTACAGAAATGTTCCAACATGATCTGTATGCAGAGTTAGCAAGCAGTATAAGCTTTTACAAGTCACAGTGTACATTTTACTTTTATTGTGATCTGAAATGCCTTTCGGCACTGCTCTTGCTTTCTAACCCCAAAATCTAAAAATAGCATTGCAGTTCCCCTTAAATTTTCAGGAGAAAATAGGTAAAAACAGATATTAAAAGGAGGCCAAAACTTTTTCATTTTTTCCTTAGATGATGATGATGATGATTATTATCACTATTATTATTATTATTATTATTATTACCCATCTGCCCCTAACCAGACAGGGCCCAAGGCAGAGCTAAGAGCACATGACTGCTCTCCCTGTACAGGACAGCAGGCCATCACGGGCCCACAAGGAAAAGGATCATTTAGAGTAACCAATCAAACCTCGCCAGCATGACTTTGGGAGTCCAAAGAAAACTAGAGCACCCAAAAAATAATTTAAGTGTTTGCTTTTTATTTTCTTACAGAGAATTTATATTTGCTTTTACGTGTGAATTTGTTCCAAAGGATATTTTAGTTTTGAACTACTGTCTAAAAGTGGCACCCTGAATGATTAATAAGCCCCCTAATGACGCAGGCTTGATGGCCCAGTGTTTGCACTGCCTTCCTTATTCCATTGCTGATTACTGTTCTGTTTCAACGTTAGGAGGACATATTAGACTTGTGTAAATGAGGTCAGACCTGTTAACATTTAAATTCCAGTAAAAATGAAATGTTGTCCTACTCACTTCCCAACACAATGTATTTAGACAGGGGCTCTGGCAGGGCTGGAGAATCACTTTAATTTGATATTTTGACTTATGGTTAAGAAACTATGAGGTTATCTGGCTGTGAATTTGTGAGTTAAATATACACAAAATTCCTAAATACAGAAATCAGGTTTGTATCAAGATGAATAAATATTATATATAAGAAGTCTTCTCTGTTCAGGAGAATCTGCATGACCGACCAATCTCTTCTGTTAGACATCCACTCCCCTAAATATATACTGTCTATTGCTTCCTAATAAAAGAAACAAAACTAATTTGTTTTAGTTAATCTCTGTAATTAAAAAGTCAACACTGAACAAAGAAAATGTTTAAGGGCAGTACTTTTATACCACCTGATACTTTAATGAAGCACTGCAAAAGTAACAAGTTGTAGGGATACTATTTTCAGTATGTGGATCTGTTAAGAGGTTTAATTCCGATTACAGAAGGTCACAGACAAGTCACATAATTAAAGCAATTTTGGAATTATGCCAACTATTTGATTTTTACACCTACAGCAACATGATATTAATCCACACCAAGCAGACATTTTTCACATGTTTCCTGATATGCCTGTATTGAACGTTGATTTCAAAGTAAGGTTTTTCTATCTCTATTCTTTTACATCCACCATGGCCTGTTTCAGTGTACAGTTTCATACAGGACAAAAGGTTCTACAATCCCCAGTTGGTACAGCACAAAAAAAAAGGTTTCTTAGAAACCACAACTGCTATAAATGACCTGCTTCTGCTGATGTCCTTTCTTAAGAAACAAATTACTGTAGACGTTTTTTTCATAAGGAATCACACTATGGCACTGACCTGGATGAAAAAAATGAGGAATGCTACCCAAGTTATTATGTCTGAATGAAACAAAACCTGTAACTCCATTATCAAGTGGCATTCTGCCATTGACTATCAACTGGTATAAAATGTTCTGTTTTAGAAGTAAACACTTTGTACAGCACTGGTTACCTTCAGAATGGAGGAACTGGGCTCCTACTGCATATGCATTTAGCACAAGGCCGCTGTTTTGAGAGAGCAATGACCACTATGTATCGAGAGAGGGGACGTACAACCAGAGCAGCCAGGACACAACCAAAACAAGAAATACAAATCAATAAAGCTGACTTGGCCCAGAACTTAAAGCACATCTGTGAAGCTTACAACAAACAGAGCGTTTTCCAAAATCCAAACAAGAAAAAAAGTTAAAACTGTCACTCCCCATCCTTCAAACTGTTCCTGGTTTGTATTTATCTTTTACAGCCTGTCCATTGGTCGACTGTCAATCAGATAGAACATGGGTACCACAAGCAACATGACCTCTCACTCAGTCCCTCTGTAAGATATTAAAGCAATGTAACTATTCACTGGTTTGAACAACGTGAATGGAATGTGAAAACAAATGTTTTAGGAGGAATCATATTTGCCATGGTAGTGAAAATTAATTTTTAGATACAGGGAATAAGTAGGCTGTCTAATTTGGGAAGAAAATCTGATAAGACCAGGTGCATCTGCCTTTTTTCAGAGGAAAGCAGTGGGACAAGTATTTTTCCGTTTTTTCTGTGCAGAACCAGATGTGCCATTTTCTTTCAATTTTCAACTCCCAACATTATAACATCTCCTGTTGTAATTTTTGTCATGTTTTGAGAATTTTCTATTCTCCGCTGTTATTTTTGCCCAGCTCTAGTGCTTTGTGCTGAGCTGGTAGAGAGTGGAACATGCAAATACACTACTTTTCATCTGATAAGAAAAGTCTATATGTGAAAAAGTGGAAGAGCAAGGAAAACATCTGTTTTTTTTGTGGTGCAAAGACAAAAAAGCTACACAGCAGAGTTTTTTTTCCCATTTTCTCCAAGTGCTTTTAAAAAAACTGCCTTTGGCAACAAAAAAATGAATGAAACATTCTATTTGTATATATTGTGCGTATTTTCATGTGGGGTTATTTGTCATTTCATTTTGAAACTGCTGGTCTGGAAAACATCAGGTTTCAGGGTTTCACATTAGCATTCATTCTTCACAGTTCTTGCCACATTTTAGTTTGGGGCTTAGGTAACACAGAACCTTCTCTCTTTGAACAACTGTCTGTTTACTGCAAGGAAAAGGACTCACAGAGTGTCACTGGCTTTTTCTGTCTCATTGATGCCCGTATGATGTCTGATCCATGTATTTTGTCTCTGTGCCTCTTTGACTTGGTTTCATAAAACCACTCTCCCGTCATGTACTTCAACCTGCTGCTGTCCCGTAAAGTCTTCTGCAGATGCCTGGAGGATGCAGAGAAACAAAGGTCACATTCATCCGGCAGATGTTGGTTTTGAATTCACACAACTAGAGTCCAACACAACGGTAATTACGTGGCATTTTTAATAATGCGTTTACTGCTTAACTTGATCGCATTTGCCGTCGGCACGCAATCTCCCATGTTTCCCAGAGAAGTCTGAAAAACTTCTCATTGAGCTAAAGCAGAATAACCTAACACAGTGATCATGTAATGAAACTCTTGTATAACAATACAACACATCCTAAATCACAGAGTCCTAAATCAGTGTTCTAAATTAAAAAAGCTATAATAAAAATCACTATATTGACATAATGGTGGTGTTAAATTTTGCCTAAGGAACGCTTTCCAGGCTATTTCAGATATTTCCCACAATGACTCACACAACAGTTACAGTTACTTCCTGACTACTGGCTATATTACAGCATGAAAGAAAAAACACACCTGATACAAATTACAATTACATATTATCACTAATTTACTGATTTCCCACCTTACCTCACTATTTTATGGAGGAAGTTGAAAGACTCAGATTTTCCTCTTGGGGTTTCAAATGTTTGTGAAGTGGGGAAAAAAACAACAGCCTGACTCTCACCTTCTGAGAAAATACCCTTTTCACTCGAGGGAAGGCTTCAAACCAGCTTTTGCATACCATAACACCTCCATGATCTCATATGACACTTCTATTAATGAAAACATGGTTCACATGAGAATACGAGAAAGGTAACAAATAAGAGGAGGTTATTCAGTTCACCCAGCCTCTTCGGTAGTTAGTAGTTAACTGATCAGAGATCGGTTGAAAGAAACAAGGGTTTTGGCTTCAATAACATGGCTGAGCACTGCGTTGCTTGCTTCCAGCATCTTCTGTGCATATTTGTGGATATGTTCTAAGATGTAACTGCACTTCAGTTTAGTTCTCCTGTGACATCTAATTTGTGTTTTACTGTTGACACTGAAGAAGTCGGTTAGGCAGAATTGATTCAGTGAGTCTGACGATTCTGAAAACATAAACTGGATCCTCTCAAAGTCCTCTCTGTTTGTGACACAAAGCCTCACCTCTTTTACCCTGTGATTGTAATACATTCCCTGAAGACCATGAACATACCTGATTGGCCTTCTCTGAACTGAATCAAGGGCACCAAAATCTTTTTTGTAATGTGATGACCGCCTAACCACAAAAATATTTTGCAATTCTACAGCAGCAAAGTTTCATATCAAATTCCAATTTATCAAAAAGCATTCACCTCCTGTAATAATGAGAGAACCTTAAATGGAGTCAGGTTAAACGTCTTTCCCAGACTTCACTGCGTCTCTTCACAACCTCATCCCCTGTGCTACAGCACCTTGGCTCACTCCTCACACGAGTTACTATTATCCCACCCTAGCCAGGCTCTCATTCCTTAGTTGAGTGTGTTCACACCACATCACAAAACATCACATTCTGTCTATGCCCTGAATTCATTAGAAATGACAACACCCAAGATTAAAGCATCATGAAAGGATTATGGAGTGAAAATTTGGCTTAACCCACTCGGCGAGGGCTGACCTCCTGGCCATAGACCTCCAAACTGAATGTCTGGACTCACCTCACATAATCACTGTTGAGATCTTGTAAACCTTTTTTCACCTTCCTTCAATAATCTATTAATCTAAAATGAACAAGATAAGCCTGCTGCGTGATAGCTGTGACTGTTCCTTGCCATGACCAAGCAGAAAGAGCGATGGAAATTGTTGTTAAAATAAAACAGGCACTGACACATTTGATGAAATCTAAATCGTGTTTGCTATTGAAATGTTATTGAGATAACCCTCAAATGTATCATTTAAGAAAGGGCAAGGGCAAACAAATGGCTGGGTTAACTTTCAAACTCTACAACTGCTTAGAAAACAAGCAAAACTATTTTTGCTTAGCAAGATATATAGTAATTATATGTATAGTAATATATAATAACCTCCAGCAATGTTAGAGTTAATAGGAAACAGTCCTTGTCATGCTATCTGTGAAACTATGTTAGTCATGTGCTAAAAGGCCAGTAAGTTATTAAACAGGGGGCCTCCTTAATCCCCTATATACTAGTGTGAGCAAGACTTTGATCCATGAGAACTTTCCTAGCTTGATGGGGATCACATAGCATTTACTTGTCTTGGTTTCCTGTTAGAATGATAAATTGAAATTGCAACTGAAAAACATTTCTTCAGATCTCAGAAATGTCCAAGAAAAGAAACAAGAAAATCAATATCAATCAATAACCAGGATAGATATAGCCAGGCACATTCTATCAGCATTGTCTTTGGAACAGTTAAAACCTGCCCGATTAAAATTGAAATTTCACGTGTTAAGAATACTTACTGTACATACTCTCACTAAGAACAAGAACTTGAAAGCATGAAAGGAGTTTACTTAACTTCGTAAAGGATAAAAGTAAGGCCAAGCCAACAACTAGAAAAAATACACTGAATCTTGTTTATAATTTGTTTTATTGCATCACCAGATGATCTCCTTTCACACAATCCCTGGATATGAAACCAGTGTTATGATATGTTTGACTGTATATTTCAATACACACTCTATACAACAGTTCACAAATAAGTAAGAGAATGGCACAGATTGTGCACACCTCCTAGGTATAGTGAACGAGGTGAAATCTTAATTGAGCTTCTTACTTCTTAGTTACTTCCAACATATATCAAACAGAAATCTATAAGCGTGTTTCTGTAGCTACTTGTAGAAAAATAAAAAATGGAATCATGCATGAAGCATTATTAATAATTCAAAAAGCACTTAAGATGTGATCACTTATCTTTTATCCATTTGTGGAATATACAGTACATTATGTCTTAACGAACTCCTTTGAATACAAGGTCTACTTTCAAGCTGTGCTTTTTAATGGTGATGAAACACAAAAAAGTTTGACTCACTTGATGCGATCCTCTTCTGCTCTCTTCAGTTCAGCATCCCTCTTAAGGACTGTCATAATCATCTCCTGCTCCTCCTCCGTTAAGTAACTCAGATCAATCATCTTGGCCACCTTCCCAAACCCACTCAAAGCACCAACAGCAGTGAAATTAAGAAGCCAGAATGATCTGTTGTTTTTAAATGACTGGCCAAAGGTGTGAGACAGAAAAGGTGAATCAGTGTCGAAGATGTTGTTTCAATGTTGTGTCTCTTTGGAACGGAACATGTACAAAAGCACTTGTGTGTCGGTTTGTGTGCTTTTCTCTGGGTTTTGATGATCTTACTATTTTGAACAATTCATCGAGCTATCATGAGGTCCAGGCCGGTTACTCTTCGGCCTTCTCCATGTTTCACAAGGGAGGCAGGTCTTCAGCTTTCTATTCCAACGAACCCAGTTCGCCCACTGAGCCCTCAGGAGACACACAGCAGCCACATACAGCACCTGCAACCAACAGGGCCAGTTAGGACATTTCGTCCAGGGTCATACTAAAATCCGGAAACAACCGCCAATCACAAAATTCCAAACCTATAGCAGCATCTGATGGTGCCCCTTTGTTTGGCAAAGCTTCTCGCATTGCTTTCCCAGTGGGACACTGGCATTTGACAATGGTTTGGAATTTCTGATAGGTGAATACAGTAGATCACAGTTTATGGATATTTGTCAACACTTCAGAAACACAGTGCAAAAAGACCTTAAGTGTGCAAAGGTTGCATCACGTACTAGTATACATATGCACTAGGTAGTGTACAGTGTTTTGAAGTTTAGCCTTTTCTAGTTCCAATAAGAAACATACAGAGAAATATGTTTGGAACTGGGAACTCTATAAATGCTTCTACTTTTATAAGGTTTATTGGGCGCCAGTCTCTGCCTCTGTGGATGTTGCTTTGAAAGCCCTGACGGGATCAGCCCCAAGCAAGAGAGAGATGGAACTAGAAAGCCTGAAATGTGTTTTTAATGCTGGGGAAAGAAAAGCTTTATTAAAAAAAACACAAAAGTAACATACAGCATAACATTAGATGATGGTAAAATTATAATCAAAGATCGTTTCTTACATTCTTTGTCCAAACGTCCTTAAAACAGAAAAACAGAAAAAAAAAACGTAATTATATAACAGCAGTAGCCCAACTGATTTGATACAGCATGTGACACAGTGTTGTCAGCTGACCATCAGAAGATGTTCAACTTGGATGTTTAGAAAAAGTGATTGAGAGCCAAACATAAAGCTCTCTTTGTTCCAGGAATTTAATTATGCTGACTTCACTTACGTACTAGGGACGGGTAGAAGTCAAAACAGACTGTTTTCTTTCCGAGAACCAAATTAACTTAAAATTCCTGTCACAGCAATAATGATAATCACAACAATAATAACAAAATGACAGTCAAGTAAAATAAATGTTAAAAGTTTAGTTGGTATGTTTTCATTGCACTTCAAGTCTAATGTAGTGCTACATTATTATGAAATCCATTTCCCAACTGATACCAAAGGTGTTCTAAAGAAAGCCAATATTGACTTTTCTGAGGCTATCATACTTTGCTGAACCTGTTCTAGATGATTATGTGGACCGTTAGTGCTGTTGACTGAACAGGAGGAGCCCTGTACCATATAATGGTCATAGTTTATGAAAGGACTTAATCAGATCTGCTGCTCCAATAATATTTATTTGTAAAATATTTATTGAATTGTTAGAATTCTCAAGAAATAAGATTATTTTGTTTAAGTCTATCCAGGGATTTAAGAGCAATATGAACAGCTGTGCACAAGCTGATGTGGTTTGCTTTGTTACTTAGACAACACCCTTTGGTGAAGAGGCAATAAAATCTTGTCACAAGTCTTCATAAAACAGACAGCTCCCCTGTGGAAGACAAAAAAGGTGACCTTACCCCTGTGGCTGCCACCTTAAAATGTGTGATTTCCTTCAAAGACTATAGACACCAGAAAGGAAAGTAAATTAAAAAATAACAACAGCCTTTGTCACCATTCCTAGCTTATTTTTTTAATTTAAACATCAAGGTGAAACTTAAAATTAAGTATACAGTATCTCAACATTTACAGTATGTGTTTCTACAAAACACATGTGAGCAAAGCAAGATATTTTTTTTTGTGAAAACATTGAATACTTGCCTGCTCTATTTTATTAAAGACAACAATGGTAATATCCATAGCAACAAAAAAACAAGTGTGGTCTTTATCTCCACATTAAGGTTTTTTCTAAGCACATACACATTTCCATAGGGTGCTGCACAGGGCAGATATAGCAACAACTTCAAAGAGACTTCAGAGAAGTATGATTTCCACTGAAACAGTAAGATTCAAAAGACTTTCCAAAATACAGTACATATGAAAATATACATTGAAAATGGTGGTGAAGCAACATATGAATCTACAATGTTCCATGCTGTTGTCATTATTAGTCTATTTCTTGCCTTTTTCTAGTGATAACAGATGTAATATGTTTAATTCAAACTGCCAGTTTGCATAGTTCATATTTCAAAAAATAACTTGGCAGCAGACAAGAAAGGAAACTATTTTATATAGTAGGTCCTTAGCATTAAGCATACGTTTTTTCGTCGTATCTGAAGTAATTCTATATTAGTATTAACACACATCCCTCAGAACACTTGACTAAGCTGTTTTTAATTGGTAACCATTTCATTGTTCAGCTGGGCTAACTGGCAATTCAGGTAAGCTAATTTTATGATGTAGTGATAAACAAAAAGTGTTTTGTTGTTGGAGCACTCTCACACTGCATTCCTACACCAGATTAAGAAACCTAGAAAGCAAGCCTATTGTGTTCTGTACTGCGCTCAAGCAGACTTACAGTATGTAACTACTACACAAAGGAATGTAGCTGAGGTATTTCGCACAAATACTTCCTGTCAGCATAACAATAGAAATGAAATGAGTTAATAGCATACTTCGGCATAACATATATTTTGCTGGGTGTGACAGACGCCAATTTTAAAATATTTACCGTCCAGGTTATTTCAGAGTCTAAATTTAAAACACAACTGAACAAGCCTGGTACAGAGCAAATAAAAGGGCAGTGATTAATTATTCATCCAAATGTCATTATTACAACTATAAAACTATTGTTTAAAACTGCAGAAAGTTAAAAATAATTTCAAAGTCAAATCAATTATGTTATGTTGAAAAGTAACAACTGCAGTACAATAAGACAATATTCTCATTGTCAAGTGAGTTTCTGCCTCTCTTTATTCATTCTTATACTGCGGGTTTTAAGGATTGGTTAATATAAACTGCACTTACATGAATAGGGTGACTTTTACACAATGGTATAACATGGACCACTATAATTTTAGATTTGAGATACAAGATAAAACATTATTTTAAAAGGCCCAGTTCCAACAAGGCTTTTTCCTTTTACCCATATTCATCTACAGTACAGTTAACAAGTTGACAAGAGCTGCAGAATGTAACATCACCTTTATCACATGATCGGTAAGTTCATGTTCAAGGCAATCTCTACAGTTAATAGGTGCTTACATAAGAAAAAATGTTCTGTGTACACACAGCATACTTGAGTATTTCTGCACAGTATTTAACATTTCTCCAAGCAAATTACAGCAATTAACTGAATACTGCAGCTCTAATTACATTAAAACTAAGCCTCATTAAAAGTGTATTTCAAATGACCATAAAACTTCATGAAAAGTTCAAGTGGCACACAGAGCTCTTTATATTTCATCTTTATATGAGTTCATTCCATTTCTTTATCTTTTGACATAATACTCTTCTTTTCAGAGTCCCGGTATGTTACCTGTAACCCTAAAAACTAGTAATGTTTTATATGATCATTTAGTGTAAACTATTAAGCACAGAAAGAGGTTTATTTATCATTAAAGATGCACATAATGCACACAATGTTTCTGCACAGATGTTAGAGTAAAAGGTGCCTTGCATCCCCCAAGGAACAGAAATCTCTAAAGGGCAGTCCCTCTAGATTATCAGGGATCTTAATTAGATCCCTGAGTATTGGCCATCTTCTTAAATAGATTAAACATCAGAAGGTAACTAAAGAAGACATATTGTATACACATCACCTGTGAATGAGAGTTCCAAAATACATTATGTAATTGTTTATTTGGTATTGCTCCTGTTTCTATAGGAGTTTTTTTACTCTCAGGCTCTAACAGGGATCATTGTGATTCAGACAATCTCCTAAATATAGGAGAAAATCAGCTACATTACTAAAGCTTCAAGCTGACTATGATTGTACCCACACTTAGCATCTGTGGTTTCTTTGAATGCATATTAATACAGGTTAGTGAGATGCGAGGTTGAAGAACTGGCGGAAAACGAGCATTGGGATTAAGGCTGTATTAGCCATTCCACACATGGTTAATGGGATTCTCATACGAATGCAGGCCAAGACATAAACTCCCACATTCACATTCAGGTGGCTCAACTCGTAGTTTTTGTTCTCGGCATTGCTGCAATAGCATATAAAACATGCTGCTGCAGGAGTGTGTGATGAATAACCTGCTTACGAATTGTGTTTCGATGAGGGAGGGATAGAGAGCTCAGCAGCCATGACTTCATTCAGTTTCAAAGCTCAGAGAAGAATCACAAATTCGAATCAAATGAACTCAGATACCTTCTGCTTTTGCTAATTACAGTATAAAAGAAATTGCTGGGTTGGCGGCTGTCATTTCTTAGGCCAAATAATAGTGATGATGGGATTTTCAGCCTAACCTCTGTTCTGGCCTTACTCATACTGTAGTTTCTCTTTTTATTTTGACAATCCCATTCAACTATTCCAGGACAGGCTTTTTAAATGATTAAAAATGATTTAAATGATTATGTAATAATTGAGGGGCTGCTCCCACAACTCTTTAAATAAATGTAAATATTGGAGGTATGGGGTTGTTACAATGTGTGCCATAGAGTGAAGCTGTCAACTATGGGACAGACAAGAAGGATTGTTGTTTTTTTTATTTAAGGTATTTGTAAATAGAGCCCCAGGGTGACACAGCTTTCCTGTTTATCCTGTTCTGCACTGTCACCGTCAGGGGTAACATATTCACAATGAAGTTGACTGACACTTCCCAACTTTTGCTTCTTACAAAAGAATAGTAAGAATCAGTTGCTGCCACAGAGACTGGCATTCCTCTGTGAACTTAAGAGGAACGTTATCCTTGCATACACATACCTTCGCCCACACAAAACTCCAGACGCCCTTTTCCTCTATTGCTTAGTGCCAGCACAGGGATACATACACAAACTATCATACGGAGTTGAAAACATGAGAGGTATGAGAGATTAGTCACATCTTAAACAAATCTTTCTTTCCTACATCGAAAATACTCATAAAATATTTATCTTTAATTTTACATAACTGTCATTCTCTGTACAAATGAAGCAAGCTAATCTGAATGTATGGGACCTATGCTCCCATGTCATTTTCACATTGTGAAATGCC